TCATACAATATCTGACCTGAAACGTAATTAAATGACATTAACTAACCTATTTTTTATGACTATAATAATCATCTGACCATGTCACAATTGGTAAAGTCAATATTTGATTAAAGTAAACATATACGTTTTTATGGTCATCTCTAATTTGGCTGCAAAATCACCTTGACCTAAAATGGACATCATAACGACCTCTGATATGGTATTTAACATAAAATGACCTTAACTGACCTATATATTATTCTAATGACCATCTGACTATGTCACAAATTGTATATTTTCTTGACCATAATTAAACATCAGAATTCTAATTTAAAGTTATTCTAAAAGCTAATTAATAAAATAGTTTTTGCATAGCATCCATTTTAAAATTAAAGATGCTCAGATTATTCATTTAATAACCTTAAATTATAATTACCTAAAATGAACAATCTTACGAGGTCAAAAATGGCATGCTAGTATTCATTAACCATTTAGACACTAGAATTATAATTCCAAGTTAGAAGAGGTAATAATACCATGAAGATACATAGGTTTTAAAGGTGGCCATTTTAAAATCTAAGATGGCTGCCATAATGACCTCCCACTAGTATATTATACGCAACTCTTTTAACTTTATAATTTAATTTTAAAACCCAGTCTGAATAAGCAATGTGACTCTGTCAAAGCAAAGCTTTTTATCTAACACAGGGATTAATATCCCACTGTTATGAACTTTGACATTGTAGATTAGCTTTTTTCTATTGATTATAGTTGCTGTATATTTTTACTTCATCATTTGATCTTGAAAATGACACCATGAAGGAGTCGAAACGTCGATCTTTTCTTTTCAGCGTTATTTTTATGTTAAATATTTATACAAAACGTACTCTTATTAATAATAATAATAATAATAATAATAATAATAATAATAATAATAATAATAGTAATAATAATAATAATAATAATAATTGTAGTAATGATAATAATAAGAAGAATAACGATAATATTTAATAAATAATTAAACATTTGGCGGGGTAGTAGTGATAGCAGTAGTAATTATAATAAATATAATAATAACAGTAACCGTAATAATAATAATAATAATAATAATAATAATAATAATAATAATAATAAAACTTTTGTTCATTTTGACAGGTGAGGTATGTAATGAAGGACATATTTTGTTGAATATCGGTGACGATTACAATATTTCTTCGCCGGGTTTTGCTAATCAATATCCAGCAGTACAAAACTGTTCGTGGTTGGTACGAGTTTCTGAAAGCGATCCAGAGGTTTCAATAAAAATTTCATTTATTGACATTGATCTACAGGAATGCTTTGATTTTCTTGCAATAGGCAAAGGTAACAACATCCGTGATTTGACATCTGTTCTACTGCGAGCAACTGGTGACAGCAAATACCCTGATCAAATAATTGATAGTAAGATGTTGTGGATTACATTTTATTCTAGTACAGCAGACAGTGGAAGAGGTTTTCTCTTACAACTGTCAGCAATTGAATCAGCATCAGGTGAAAGCAGTGAATCAATATTAGTGGAAAGCAGTGAATCAACGTTAGGTGAAAGTATTGAATCAACATTGGTGGAAAGCAGTGAATCACTGTTAGCGGAAGGCAGTGAATCAATTTCAACCGAAAGCAGTGAATCAATGTCAACCAAAGGTAGTGAATCAACATCAGCGGAAAGCAGTGAATCGACATCAGGTGAAAGCACCGACTCTATGTCAGATTATATCAGTAAGTCAACTACAGATGAAAGCAGTGAATCAAAACTAGGGGAAGGCAGTGAGTCAACATCAGGTGAAAGCAGTGAATCAACATCAGCGGAAAGCAGTGAATCAACATTAGCTGAAGGTAGTGAATCAACTTCAAATTATATCAGTGAGTCAATATCTGATGAAAGCAGTGAATCAGTATCAGCAGAAGGCAGTGAATCAATGTCACCGGAAGGCAGTGGTTCAATGTCAGCCGAAGGCAGTGAATCAACATCAGCGGAAAGCAGTGAATCGACATCAGGTGAAAGCAGCGACTCTATGTCAGATTATATCAGTAAGTCAACTGCAGACGAAAGCAGTGAATCAACACTAGGGGAAGGCAGTGAGTCAACATCAGGTGAAAGCAGTGAATCAACATCAGCGGAAACCAGTGAATCAATGTTAGCGAAGGGCAGTGAATCAATGTCAGCGGAAGGCAGTGAATCAACATCAGCGGAAAGCAGTGAATCGACATCAGGTGAAAGCAGTGAATCAATGTCAGATGAGTCAACATCAGATGAATACAGTGAATTAACATTAGATGAAAGCATTGAATCAACATCAGCGGAAAGCAGTGAATCAACATTAGCTGAAGGTAGTGAATCAACTTCAAATTATATCAGTGAGTCAATATCTGATGAAAGCAGGGAATCAGTATCAGCAGAAGGCAGTGAATCAATGTCACAGGAAGGTAGTGGTTCAATGTCAGCCGAAGGCAGTGAATCAACATCAACGGAAAGCAGTGAATCGACATCAGGTGAAAGCAGCGACTCTATGTCAGATTATATCAGTAAGTCAACTACAGATGAAAGCAGTGAATCAACACTAGGGGAAGGCAGTGAGGCAACATCAGGTGAAAGCCGTGAATCAACATCAGCGGAAAGCAGTGAATCAATGTTAGCGAAGGGGAGTGAATCAATGTCAGCAGAAGGCAGTGAATCAATGTCATCCGAAGGCAGTGAATCAACATCAGCGGAAAGCAGTGAATCGACATCAGGTAAAAGCAGTGAATTAATGTCAGATGAGTCAACATCAGATGAAAACAGTGAATTAAAATTAGGTGAAAGCATTGAATCAACATCAGCGGAAAGCAGTGAATCAACATCAGGGGAAAGTAGTGAATCAATGTCAAATTACATAAGTGAGTCAACATCAGATGAAAGCAATGAATCAACATCAACGGAAGACAGTAAATCAGTATCAGCGGAAGGCAGTGAATCAATGTCAGCAGAAGGCAGTGAATCATCAGCGAAAAACAGTGAATCGATATCAGTTGAAAGCAGTGAATCATTGTCAGATTATATCAGTGAGTCATTATCAGATACAATCAGTGACTCAGCATCAGGTGTAAGCAGTGAATCCACATCAGCAGAAAGCAGTGAATCAGCATCAGCAGAAGGCAGTGAATCAATGTCAGCGGAAGGCAGTGAATCAATATCATCGGAAAGAAGTGAATCGACATCAGATGAAAGCAGTAAATCGACATCAGATGAAAGCAGTGAATTAACATCAGGTGAAAGCAGTGAATCAAAAACATCGGAAAGAAGTGAATCGACATCAGATGAAAGCAGTGAATCAACGTCAGGTGAGAGCAGTGAATTAACATCAGTGAAAAGCAGTGAAACAACATCAGGGCAAAGCAGTCAATCAGTATCTGCGGAAGGAAGTGAATCAATGTCAGCAGAAGGCAGTGAATCAGCATCAGCGGAAAGCAGTGAATCAGTATCAGCAGAAGACAGTGAAGCAGCAGAAGACAGTGAATCAACATCAGCGGAAAGCAGTGATTCGACATCAGGTGAAAGCAGTGAATCAATGTCAGATTATATCAGTGAGTTAACATCAGGTGAAAGCAGTGAATCAACATCAGTGGAAAGTAGTGAATCAGTATCAGCTGAAGGCAGTGAATCAATGTCAGCGGAAGGCAATGAATCAATGTCAGCCGAAGGCAGTGAATCAACATCAGCGGGAAGCACTGAATCGACATCTGGTGAAAGCAGTGAGTCAATATCAGCCGAAGGCAATGAATCAACATCAGCGGAAAGCAGTGAATCGATGTCAAATTATATCAGTGAGTCAACATCAAATGAAAGCAGTGAATCAGTATCAGCGGAAGGCAGTGAATCAATTTCACTGGAAGGCAGTGAATTAATGTCAGCTGAAGGCAGTGAATCAACATCACTGGAAGGCAGTGAATCGACATCAGGTGAAAGTACTGAATCAATGTCAGATTATGTCAGTGAGTTAACATCAGATGAAAGCAGTGAATCAACATCAGGGGAAAGCAGTGAATCAACAGCAGTGGAAAGTAGTGAATCAGTATCAGCTGAAGGCAGTAAATCAATGTCAGCGGAAGGCAGTGAAACAACATCAGCGGAACGCATTGAATCGACATCTGGTGAAGGTAGTGAATCAACATCAGGTGAAAGTAGTAAATCAACATCAGAGGAAAGCAGTGAATCGACATCAGGTAAAAGCAGTGAATCAATGTCAAATTATATTATTGAGTCAACATCAGATGAGAGCAGTGAATCAGTATCAGCGGAAGGCAGCGAATCAATGTCACCGGAAGGCAGTGAATTAACGTCAGATGATGGCAGTGAAGCACCATCAGCGGATAGCAGTGAATCGACATCAGGTGAAAGCAGTGAATCAATGTCAGGTTATATCAGTGAGTCAACATTAGATGAAAGCAGTGAATCAACATCAGCGGAAAGCAGTAAATCAACACCAGGTAAAAGCAGTGGATCAATGTCAGATTATATCAGTGAGTCAACATCAGATGAAATCAGTGAATCAACATCAGGTGAAAGCAGTGAATCAACATCAGTGGAAAGTATTGAATCAGTATCAGCTGAAGGCAGTGGATCAATGTCAGTGGAAGGCAGTGAATCAGTGTCAGCTGAAGGCAGTGAAACAACATCAGCGGAAAGCAGTGAATCGACATCAGATGAAAGCAGTGAATCAATGTCAGCTTATATCAGTGAGTTAACATCAGATGAAAGCAGTGAATCAACATCAGGTGAAAGCAGTGAATCAACATCAGTGGAAAGTAGTGAATCAGTATCAGCTGAAGGCAGTGAATCAATGTCAGCGGAAGGCAATGAATCAATGTCAGGCGAAGGCAGTGAATCAATATCAGCGGGAAGCACTGAATCGACATCTGGTGAAAGCAGTGAGTCAATATCAGCCGAAGGCAATGATTCAACATCAATGGAAAGCATTGAATCAATATCAGCGGAAAGCAGTGAATCGATGTCAAATTATATCAGTGAGTCAACATCAAATGAAAGAAGTGAATCAGTATCAGCGGAAGGTAGTGAATCAATTTCACTGGAAGGCAGTGAATTAATGTCAGCTGAAGGCAGTGAATCAACATCAGTGGAAAGCAGTGAATCGACATCAGGTGAAAGCACTGAATCAATGTCAGATTATGTCAGTGAGTCAACATCAGATGAAAGCAGTGAATCAACATCAGGTGAAAGCAGTGAATCAACATCAGTGGAAAGTAGTGAATCAGTATCAGCTGAAGGCAGTAAATCAATGTCAGCGGAAGGCAGTGAAACAACATCAGCGGAAAGCAGTGAATCGACATCTGGTGAAAGTAGTGAATTATCATCAGGTGAAAGCAGTAAATCAACATCAGCGGAAAGCAGTGAATCGACATCAGGTAAAAGCAGTGAATCAATGTCAAATTATATTAGTGAGTCAACATCAGATGAGAGCAGTGAATCAGTATCAGCGGAAGGCAGTGGATCAATGTCAGTGGAAGGCAGTGAATCAGTGTCAGCTGAAGGCAGTGAAACAACATCAGCGGAAAGCCTTGAATCGACATCAGGTGAAACCATTGAATCAACATCAGGTGAAAGCAGTGAATCAACATTAGCGGAAAGCAGTGAATCGACATCAGGTAAAAGCAGTGGATCAATGTCAAATTATATCAGTGAGTCAACATCAGATGAAATCAGTGAATCAACATCAGGTGAAAGCCATGAATCAACATCAGTGGAAACTATTGAATCAGTATCAGCTGAAGGCAGTGGATCAATGTCAGCGGAAGGCAGTGAATCAGTGTCAACTGAAGGCAGTGAATCAACATCAGCGGAAAGCAGTGAATCGACATCTGGTGAAACCATTGAATCAGCATCAGGTGAAACCAGTGAATCAACATTAGCAGAAAGCAGTGAATCAGTATCTGCGGAAGGCAGTGAATCAATATCAGTCGAAGGCAGTGAATCAACTTCAGAAGAAAGCAGTGAATTGACATCAGGTGAAAGTATTGAATCAATGTCAGATTATATTAATGAATCAACATCAGATGGAAGCAGTGAATCAGTATCAGCGGAAAGCAGTGAGTCAATTTCAGATGAAAGCAGTGAATCAGTGTTGGCTAAAGGCAATGAATCAATGTCAGCTGAAGACAGCGAATCAATGTCAGCCGAAGGCAGTGAATCAACACCATCGGAAAGCAGTGAATCGACATCAGCGGAAATCCGTGAATCAATGTCAGATTATATCAGTGAGTCAACATCAGATGAAAGCAGTAAATCAATATCAGGTGAAAGCAGTGAATCAACATCAGCGGAAAGCAGTGAATCAATGTCAGATTATATCAGAGAATCATCTACGTCAAGTAAGTATTTTTGTAAACAAAGGTCAATAACTATTACGCTGTACTGGATAATAAAATAACAATCATAATAATAATAATAATAATAATAATAATAATAATAATAATAATAATAATAATAATAATAATAATAATAAGAATAGTTCATTCTTATATAGCGCAAGTAAGCAAGCTCTCAATGCGCTAAAAAAAAACCAGAATAAGGACGTTATGTTAAATTAATGAAAAACTTGATGAAAAAGAAAGGTCTTTAGCCTAATAATAATAGATTAATATATTTACGTTAAGCAACCTTGTAATTTTGATAAGCATACTTTTTGATCATTGATATTAAACATATCCTTCAATACATGTTTCATAACTTTTTAATATGAAAATCCCTCATAAAACATTAATACACCAAGTAAAAACAAGCTTGTCTACATTACCTCTGGTAGAAATGCAATCATGTAGACTTGCATTTAATTCTATGGAAGCCTAGACTTTATTGACTAGGTTTATAAAAGTATGCCAATTTTCATTGTTCATACCCTATTTTTCATACTCAAACGTCTTAGGGGAAAAGGTGTATTTTGTACTATACTCTCTTATTTGTTTCTAATTGCAAGTTGTTTTAGAAAATAGCTGATTTCTCAGCTGTTACCTAACATAAGGCGTCAACGTTTTGTGTAGTAGGTTAATTTTTAAATTGTGAGGAGCTAGCCTCACGAATAACCTGTAGGCCTAAAACACACAGGAAGGTGTTAACTGATATTTGTCTGGCCTTTACCCTTATTCAGACCATTACCGATACACTATTTGTTTACGTGTGTTGTCAAATATTTAATCTGATCTGTGTTTATAGAAATATTATATTAACACTGTTTTGTGGGTTATTTTTAAAGTAGGTCTGGAGCAATTTTTCTTTTTGAAGTTTACAATTACTTCTATTGATGGTGTAATAACGGAATTTGATGTTCGTCTTCAAGACCCACTTACAGCATTGTTTATACAGTATGAAGAGCTGGCATGTGCTGCGGTAAGTTCATTATTACCGTGCCATTTAACTTGAGAGATTTTTAATTAATTATGCAAGATATGCATTGCATACCCAAGCTAAAACTCCAAAGAAAATATTTTATAATTCCTTAACCAAAATCTACTAACCTTAATATTTCGATTTGATTGATTAAAATTTTATTGGATTGGTTAAGTTAATATTAATAGTTTTTCAATCTTAAAACCTACTTTGATGTCTAGGATCATTCGCCTAAGTTTCTCTCTGAGCCATGGCATCCTACTCTCAGCTGCTTAGAATTTAATTTGAGTAAAGAACAAAAGCTTGTGACGATTAACCGTTCAGACGCTTGCACAGTATAAAAACTGGAAGAAATAAATCGTTGCACTATTTTTTTTTTAGTTACCTTACGAATATATGTATCCATTAAAGTGTCATAAATATAATTTTACACTAACACAAATCTACAAAATATTAGACGAGGACTAGCTAAATAGCAGCACATGTGAGAATTCCTTATTCAAATTACGTTTGTACAGTACAGTTGAAAGAGCAGAGTAATATTCAGTATATTAAATATAACGGAATAATATATATTATAAAATCACGGACCATATCAATCACTTAAATAAATCAATAGTTGACTTCATCTATCAGCATATTTTACCATGTCCTGTACAATCCAGTTTTTACAATTAGGCCTATCCTTTATCAGTATCTTATCTGCTTCTGCATTATATATGACTGTGTAGGAGTTGGAAAAACTAAACAAAAAGTTTGTTTATTTATTTATTTTTTTTAAATTTATTTCTTGTTTAACCTGGGTTAACAACTTGAAAACCAACTGTTATCCTTATGTGCCAAGGATACGATACACAAAACATACAATCCTAATCTACTTACTTTAATAACAATATAATTCATAAGATTACTTTAATAATAATAATAAATATAATTCATAAGAACGACATGTATTGTTATGTATTGTTATGGAAGAAGCTGATATATATAACAAAGTGTAAACACGGACAACTTAGACGAAAACAAACCTGTCAATTTTTTACATTTATCTAGGAAAATAAGATCACCCTGAACAATACAACAAGTTTGGAAAATTTGCTTTAATCTTTCTAGACCTCACCTTCCCTATTTCTTTATTTATACAAGTACAATTTACAAATAATGTTCAATTGTTTCCTTTTCCTTTTTACAGAAAGTACATAGTTCATTTTCTTTTAACTTCATTTGTGTTAATTTTTGGTTTGTATCAGAACGTTTATATTTATCTTATACTGAAAAACTCTACTTTTTATATCATGCTGTATCATAAATGGTAGTTTATATATTCGCTCCCAGTCATGTTGATTGAAATTATATTTTGAATTCCAAAAAATCTCAGAAGTAGTTTTAACATTTTTATTATTCCTAAAAAACTGTAAGTCTGTTTAGTTTCAATGCTTTTAAATGGAATAACCTGATTAAAATTAAGGCATGAGTTCTTTTTTGTTTTGTGTCCTGTGTTTTCCTATTTTGTAGAGCATCAATTTTTAATTAATTTGGAATTAGAGAACACCAATTATAGGTTTAGAGATTTTTTGACCCTTTTTTTATCCATACGTCAAAATTATGCAATTGCCCTTCCTCATTGTATTAATCTTGAATATACACCATAACACATTCATAAAAATATTTAATAAAAACAGTTTTACTGTTAATTTTAATATCCTGGTTATTCCAAATAATGAACATACTTATAAAATATCATTCATGAGTAAGTTTATCCACTTTACTTAGGTAAGATAATAATTATTATTTTATTTCCTTATAAAAAGAAAAGGAATTTTATTGTTTGGATGAAGATCTTTCGATTTATAATTACAAAACAAAATCAGTTCATTTCTCATATGTTTTGTGTAATATTTTAAAAAATCTTTCCATCTTTGTATCCACCTAAGCCTTAAAGCTTTAAACATAGATTCAACATCAACCATATTTAAACCTCCCTTCTCGATTGGCCCAATAAGAGTGGATCTTTTCATATAACCTTTTTTTCCATTCTAAATATTATTAAATAATATGTCTTCAATTTGTTTAATTAAACTAGTAGGGACCGGTAAAATTGAGGCCACATAAATTTGTTTGAATGTGCAAAACTTTTTATAATGTGGATCTTTTCAATTAGTGTCAGATTTCTTGTTTTCCACTTTTCTGCAGATCCCCCGGTTTGTTTTTTTTTGGTTTTATTTTCAAAATTTTAATTTTCATACAGCTGAGAGTTATATGAAAAATAAAAGCCAAGAGCTTTAATGGGAGATTTTGCTATTTCTACTCTTGGTAATGTATCTGTTGAATTTCTTAAAGAACCAAGCCACAGCGCTGTAGTTTTATCACAGTTCAATTAACCCTGAAAAAATTGAGAAAATGGTAATAAGTGTTAAGGCGTTTTCCAAGGATTTTCTATCAGCCAAAACCAGTGTAGTATCGTCAGCGTATTGAATAATATTTATGTTATTTTCATTCACCTCAATGCCTTTTATTCCTCTATGGTAACTGATAGCACAAGCTATGAATTCAGCCGCTACGATAAATAAATAGGGGGACAATGGATCTCCCTGCCGGACTCACTAATTAACTTGGATATACCCTGAATTGAAACCATCATTGCTTACACAACTCAGTATGTTTGTATACAGACTTTGAATGTACGGTATTTTATAAAACCATTTCCAAAATTTAACTTTTCAAGGATTTTAAATAAAAATGTCCACTCTAGGGAGTCGAAAGCTATCTCATAATCTAAAAAGAAAGAAACATTGATATAAGAGCAAAGACAGGGACACAATACATCATTAAAATAATTACCTATGGAGATGGGCAGGTCACGTCACAATATACAGAATGACAGAATAGCCAAGAACAGCAGTGAGAAGAAGAGGCAGACATGGAGAGATGGCAGGATGAGATTAGAACGTTTGCCGGCATCACATCTCAGCAAAATGTCAGAAACAGAAAGAAGTGGGAGATGGGGAAAGAGGCCTTCCTCCAGCAGTAGAGTGAAATTATGCTAGAAGAAGATGATTATCGCAGTGCTAAGCAGCAAAACCTATATTTGAATATTATTTCCTATGATTTACCAGCTGCAATAGCATAAAATAAATTTCGCCCAAACATAATTTTGAGCCCTCGTTTTATGAATAGTGGTCTGAGATCATTAAGGATATCGTGTGGACCTCTTTGTTCATACAACTAATAAGAGCTGTCGTTGATGAGCCATGTTTGATACGATTTATGACATCATGTTCCTATTATATATATCTTATATTATTATCTATTTGATTTATACATTATTTTGTGATCAGAGTAGTAAACGCTTGATTCATATTATATATATATATATATATATATATATATATATATATCATATAAATAGCAATAAATAAATAAAAACTTCAATAATAGACTTAAAGGGCACTGTTTTATTCGTAACTCAGACATTGCTGCCACTCTTGGGGCCTTTATTAGTGTACTTGAAGTATATTATTAAAAGTTGTTCTTTGTTTTTTTTTTACATTCTGTTAGAAAACACGTGGAATATAAATGAGAAAATATAGCATTGGTACCTGCCCTCTATGCTTGTCCTAATTTCTGTTTTAATTGAATTATTTCTGTTAAGGTAATGAGTGCTTTATCAGGTAGTAATATTGCCCTCGTTGGATGCGAAGCTCACGGCTTTGAGAGTGGAAGTATTGTTGCCAATTTGAAAATCCGTATAACTTTTGAAACAATCATCGAAATAGCAGACATGTTAACTGCTTTCCTAGCTGGAGTAGACGAATCAGGCATGATTATTGGCAGTTCACTTTTAATAGATCGTGATTCACTTTCTGCTGAAGGTAAACAAGCATTCTATATTGTTTATAAGTATTAGTACTTATAATTATCTTTTATATACTTATAATTATCTTTTATATTGAAGCATTATGAAAGAACACATAATGTGTTCTATTTTGAAATATAGTCTAGTGGTTCTCAGTTAAGTTTTTTTTATCAAGTTCAATGCATTGTTAGTGTAGTTAATAGGTATCGATTAAAGCAGTTCATTATAGTTCATGCATTCGTATTATTCTCGACATTTTAGTGATAGATGACACTACGTCTGATGACAGCGACTCATCTTTTAGCAAATCAACGTCAGCGGAAAGCAGTGAATCAACATCAGCAGAAATCAGTGAATCAATATCAGATTATATTAGTGAGTAAATATTAACCGCAATAACTAAATATTTAAAAAAGGCCATACATACAAAAGGAATCTCCGAGTGCAAAAATATTGCCCCAACCGGGATTCAAAACCGGGACCTTCTGCTGTCTATGTAGATGCCTTAACCAACTGCGCCATTGAAGCTTTTGTTGAAAATTCGAATCCGATTGGAGGCAATTCATTTCCATTGTATGCCAATACAACACTAGTGTTTGATGCACACACAAAAAACAGAAATTAAATGTTTGTCTCACTGTATAGTCGTTATTCATGTTACTTAAATTATTTATATTGCGTTCATCGAGCTGATACTATTTCATTGTATGTTTACATGTACATTTGACAATAAATTTTATCTGTATCTGTGTGTGGGTGGGCGTGGGGTGTGTGTAGGTGTGTGTGTGTGTGTGTTTATGTGTGCATCATATCACAAGTCATCATTTAGATATCACAAGTCATCATTTAGATATTACAAGTCATCATTTAAATTGCTGAGTAAACGTAACTCCACTAAACTCTAAAATATATATGGGACCTGAGAGAAAAACGCACACAACATTAAATATCCTGGTCAATATTAAAACGGTCATCATCTTACTCCTCCAGCTCAAAGAAATGTAATCTATGTCTATGGGGAAAATAATTCTCATGGCTTGTACCACCTGGCTATTAGCTTACGGCATAAGAGTGAAACATAGTCGGTTTTATGTTCGGTTTTATCCATTTAACAATGGTTTTATTCTGTAGTTAAAACATATGACAAGATGATAATTAACAAAGACCACATTGATAAATTTAGCACATGAATATATATTCGTAGGACCATCCTAGGCATATAATGTTCAAAGGTCAACTCACTGGCCATGGCAGGACTTGCGTCTCACACCCTATTCGTTCACGTTTATCCATAACATTACTACAGAATATAGGGCTTAACTTTAACATGATAATTAAAGGCTTAAAACAATGGTTAACTCTAATTAGGTCGTTGCAAAATATAAAGCATGTAACATTGAATCAAAGAATCATAATATAACAATTAAATTTTCCCGAAATATCACATTATATAATTAACTTACTTCAATTTACGCATCGTGATCTGGTTTAGGGTGATCAACTACTTGAAGTTTTCCGAAACAAACTTGAGGGTGGTACACAAGCTACTCAATTTACAATAAACCTTATATACAGGAGCATCTGCGTCTGACATTATGTACCTAAAGATCGCTTGAACTTTATGTAGTACAGTAAATTATGAAGTAACCGAAGTTTTACTCCTGTACTTACTTTTATAATACCCAGCACTATTTTAGCCTACTTGGTTCTACTCATATAGACATCTCGTGTATTTCTACAATACATGTCAACATAATATATATTTTTATGTTATTTTTTAACGTTTATGTTGATCATTTCATATTTTACGTTTAGTGTTTAAAAACTGTCCTGCTGACGTAACAGTAGCTACTGGATCCGGACTAAGCTTTGCAATCGTAGAATGGGAAGTACCAGTACTTTCAGACAATTCTGTTTCTGCTACCATCTCTTCCACACATTCCTCAAATTCAAAGTTCAACATTGGAAAGCATAATGTGACCTACACAGCAGTATTCAACTCGACATACACTGAGTGTTCATTCACCGTACAAGTCATAGGTAATTCGACTGCACGCAAACAGTACAGACATTCTCTATTCAAAAAAGATTTGACATATTTTAAAATAAAATATATAAAAATGAAATACATATACACCTGTCTCTTATACACATCTAGATGTGTATAAGAGACAGATGTTATATAATATATATATATATATATAATTATAATATTTTAATTCTGTAGATAATGAACCTCCTAGTATACAGTGTCCAGATAATATAGCAAGAACATTATCGTTTGATAACGAGAGCATTATAGTTAACTGGAGCGTACCAACTGGATCTGACAATGCTGGTCAAGTAACAGTTTTACCTTCTATGAGTAATACACATTCACCAGGAGATTTGTTTAATAAAGGTTCATATACGATCTTATATATGGCGACTGATAACATTGGACTGACAAGTTCATGTACATTCTTAATTGAAATAAGTGGTAAGTTATAACTAGTCATATTAATATGTTATTAAATATTAATACAACAGTAATACTAGTACCTCGAACACTATATTTCAAACATTGCTTTGCTCACCGGGTGATGAACGCGGGCAAGATTAGCCCGGTTTTTTTTGTTTTTTTTATGGCACGCAGTGAGATTTTCTTCAGAAGTTTAAATTCTGTATATTATAAAGCCCGGGGCAATTGGTTTTTTTTTCACTGCCCGTGGTCGTTATTGTAAGTAAGACAATTTACAAAAAAGAATGTCTGGAATTATAGTAATTAATCTTGAATAATCTAATCACATATTTGAGGCGGGGATCTTAATTATTTATTTTTGACTCTCTTCAACACTACTGCTGTGTGGCTAGTCTCTCTTTCTATTTTCATAAGATATTTTGGTTAATAATGTTGAGATTAGCTACCTCATTTGTACTACCAGGCCACACAGGGCCCTGCTTTTGTTTTTCTTTTCCATTACCTGTCCTTGTTCTCTCTCACTCTTCTTCATTTTTGTTCTAACATCTATCTTCCGAAATCATATTCCACCTCTACCTCGTCATGAATCATACAGCCTTCAGGATTCAATTTTATAATTAACCGTCTCAATCTAATTATAAAATTATGATTATGGCACCTTTAGATAGCCGGAAATGGCTCTCTCAGCTTACAAGTTTAATACAATTTTGTTTGTTTTCTCCATTATTTATTTTTTTTTTTTTAAATAATTTTGAAAAAAAAATGGAGGTTGGGTGCCCGAGCTGCCTGTATTCCCACTTGAATCTGCCACTGTTCAACATTTGACATAGCCTATCATTTTGTTTCACAAATGATTAATTCCTAATGTCAAGCGAAAGATTTTTTTATTTGGAAAGATTTTTTTAACACATTAACTACAGTGTACTGTAATTTCTGTAGTTAACCATCAGAGAATTTTATTTTTAAAAATGGCCTAATTAAGTATCTTATTGTTTTCGTTTAGATACAATACAATACAATACTCAATAGATTTATTTGTCATATATATATATATGTACAATACACATAAAATGAAATTCAGTCTGGATCCCTAACAAAACACAAAACACGAAAATTCAAACTACTGAAGTGACTTGTTCAATGGAGTTTAAATGTGGTTATATTAGATAGTTTGAAGGTTTACCCTAGGCCAATCATTTACACTTACTATACATCATCGTGGTTAGCTTCGCTCGCATACTAGACCTTACGAAATGCCCCCCTTCCCACTTTCAAAAATGTTCCGCCGCAGTTGGGTTTAATATTGTAAAAACTCCAGATTTTTAGAGTATTGTTATTCTAGAGCTAATTGTGGGAAATTGTAGTTTTAGACAGAGCATCAATTTATAGAACTCTTTGTGGAATATTGGTGCCAATTCAACATTAACATGTTTAAGGCGGCAATTGGGATGCTCATGCCTGACAACCTCCTAACATTCACACAGTTGCTTTATATTATAATATTTATTTTTATTTTGTGAAAGATAATGTATGTAATGAAGGATACTTCGCCTGTCCCGAGAGGTGTATTCCAAGTGAATATGTATGTAATGAGAGGCCAGATTGTGCAGACGGTTTTGATGAATCAGATTGTGGTACGTTGACATATTTTAATGATATTTATATAATAACAACAGCAGCAACAACTATGATGATAATAATAATAATAATTATTATTATTATTTATTATTATTATTATCATTTATAATAATAATAATAATAATAATAATTATTATTATTATTATTATTATTATTATTATTATTATTATTATTATTATTATAACAATTACTGTGTTTTTAAAGGATCATGTAGCGAATACGAATACCGGTGCCTCAAAAGCTCACGTTGCATTCCAACATCACAAATCTGCGATAGCTTTATTGACTGCCCTCTACTCGAAGACGAGGATTCAACGTTTTGTTCTGGTTTGTAAAGTATTAACAATTTGAAACTATAACAATATTAAGTCATAAATAATCTATTATTGCATTTTACTTTGTTACTAAATAGCTCGTTTGTGTACCACAGTTGGTACAGAATGATGTAGTTAACTGAGTAATTAACAACATTAATATGTAATATCATTACTCATTTTTGATGTAATATCTAAACATTAAGATGTAATATCTTTACTCATTTTTTGATGTAATATCTAAACATTAAGATGTATTATCTTTACTCATTTTTTGGCATTAGTCGATTCCAGTAAATAGCATTTAGTGTGAAGAATATTGAAGGTGCAATGTATGTTTAAACACTTATTTTACTGTGGTCATAAAGGCTGGTTTTAGAATCAATCAAGTAATCAATCAATCGTTCCACATACAACAACAAACATACAAACATACAAATATACATACATACATATATATGACATACATGTCTCATATGATTAATTATCAATTATTACAGCTCTAAACCATAATATTTTTTAGAGCTCTAATAATATTATGCTAAATGAAATTATTTTACTTAGAATTAAATTAATGCTTGAAAACATCCTGAAGGATTATATAAATTAGTAGGCTAATAACATGCTTATTCCTACGTCGTGTCTATGAAACTGGTTATTATGTATAATGTTCTCTGTATTTCCTGATCATTTGATGAACATTCTTTATCTAAGCTCGGACCAGATATTTGAGACAATCTTTCACATTCAAAACGTAATTCATCATCGCTAATTACTTTTATAAAATAATTAAAACATAACATTTATCCTTAGTAGTAAGTAATATGTAAAGCCCTTTGGTCTTTGCAAAGCGCTAAAAAAGAGACAAAGTTATATTTACTTTCTTTCTTATTAAAGTTGCTTCTAAAAGTGTTTCATAGACAAGGTCTACATTTACTGTTGAGATATTATAACTTCTTACTCAAATAAAATATATAATTTTGTCCCTATTACTTATCAATTACAATAGATAAATGCAATCTTGCCACAATAATTCTTCCAATGAATCTCCGTGTCGCTGATTTTGGTCATTATTTATTTGAATCTGGAACCAATGTAACATTTGAATGTGCCGACGGTTATAGCCTTTTGGATGAATCACAACTATTTTGTAACGGAAACAGCTTTGGACAGTTCCCAATGTGTTACGGTAAGAACTGAATCTTGAAATCATTTAACGTTGATTAGAGCACAGCTTCTACCTATAATTGATTATGTATATGTATATACCACAGTGCTACACAGAAACTTTATTTCTATGTTACTTCATTATAATGCAGCTAAAAGAGTACTCACTAGTTTAAATCAGCCTGACTTAATATGGTCAAATATCAGTTGTTTGTAAAAGGATCTTGGTCTTGTTGTATCTGCGATATACGCGGCACTTTTCATGCAAGGTATAGTCGAGCATTGCGCAAGAAAGTTATATTTTTTTTCTTCACACTTAGATTTTAAGAATCGCACATAAGGACTATCGTAAACCTGCAGAATAGAAAATTATTATCAAGGACCCACACCAAAACTGTTATCAAAAAGCAAATGGCAAACCTCGTGCTAAATACTGACTTACAAACGACGTCACCGGTCGACCAGAGAGCCACTGGTTATTACCTTAGTGTACCACCAATAATGGCAATAATTAAAATAAAACCCGATTCTACAGACTACAGAACGTTTTATTCAGATACACTGTTTAAGCTTATCGCTGAAAACCTAACCTTTTATGGTTTATTGAGAAACTCTTGCATAATTTTGGCATTCCATCTTTGTGGTTCGTCATGTAAAACAAGCTCATTGCTAATTCAGGAGCAACCAAACATCAGGGGTGGCGCCAGGGCTATAGCCCCCCGTCGGGGATGCATAGCCCCCCCCCCCCCGTCGGGGAAGATGAGTAAATTTTGTCGGGGGATAAACAAATAAAAAAATTATTTACTTTCATTAAACTATTTTTGTTAACTTTTCATCACAATAATAATAATAATAATAATAATAATAATAATAATAATAATAATAATAATAGGCCTAATAATAGTTCAATGAGACTAAATAAAAATAATTTGCGTTTTGTTATCACAAATGCTCGTTTGGATACCCTCATGATGCTTTGAATACATTGTCATAGGGAAAGCAACCTCGACATTGATAGCGTTGACAAATGCAAAATTACCAAATTGTAGAATTTCACTTTCAATAATGAGCATTTGAAAATAAATTAGATGGTTACATTGCATAATCTTTGTTTCTTGTTTTATTCAAAATGTTTTGGTTCCGGGAAGCTGAATTCGACATTAGAAAACATAGCCTACATGAAGTTATATTATAGTAGCTCGATGCCTATAAAAATAAGTAATAAAACTTCGCCATAATTTGTCAAATATCCGTGGCTTCAAGGGACCTTCGCCCCCTGGACCCCCCACCGGGGGCCCTAGGCGGCCCCCTGGCCCCCAGCCAAGTGAGACTCGATTCGCTCCACTAGCCACCCCCCCCCCACGTCGGGGCCTTTAGCCCCTCCGTCGGGCAGGTCCTGGCTTCATCACTGTCAAACATACCAACATTTTGGATAAGGCAATTTATTAAATGCCTCACCAAAAAATATCGTTTATCTATCATGTATGCGGTACACATGTTCGGTCAGGAAAAAAATCGTATAAAATGACACAGCATATCAGCTACCAAAACCTTCAAGATTTATGGAGTATTCACTGGTCACTCAATTGCTAATGTTTTAAAACTTATCGCAATAGACCATAATGTCAATTTGAGTGAAAAAAAAAAAGTAAGGATGCGAAAAATCACCTGGAATTTTTACTTAAAACCACCACGCATATTTTGCTGAGTAGGCCTATTAATAAAGTTCTCCCATTTGGCCTACTCGAGCCAAATGGCCGAGCGGTTAAGGCAGGGGCACCGTGTTTATAGCCAACAATATCGGTACAGGTTCGCGGCCGGCTCGCTCTTATAGTTCCGGGGCGGATTGCTATATAAGCGGTCTTTAGACGGTCTTCACGGTTAGCCGGCTATAATCGTGACGTCACTACTGGTCTATGATTATAGACCATTGCTATACCGCAGTCTAACCAGTTAGCCGTCTTAAATTTTAAAGCCTACTCGGAGGAGGCTTAAAACGGTCTTAAATCATTTTCATCATGGCGTTCTGCTGATTAATCTAACAGTGCAATGGCAAGACCTAAGCCTATCATCAAAGTCGGAGAATCGAACGACGAATACTCCGCACACTTCTCAGCGTCTGTAAAAATAGGTCTGCGGCGTTTATTTACGTTCATTTCGATACATTTGCGTGCGTCGAGCACGCATGACGTCGCCCTAAATCTTACGTTACCAGGGAGTGCTTGTTTGCGTTTCAATACTCAAAGCGGTCTTAGGGAAGACTGTTTTATAGTAATGGTCTTAGAAGAATGACTTTAGTAAGACCGTCTAAGTGATAAAGCCGGCTTTATTCGAGAAGTTAAGACTACAAGTTAAGACCGTTTTACAGCAATCCGCCCCTGGTGCTGGAACAAGTCTTTTCGGATAAGGACTATAAACCGTAGGCCCAATGTACACAAATGCTCATGTGCACTTTAAAGAACCCAGTACAACTTTCGAGATGAGTAGGGGGTTACCCCGGTGTGCTGGTTCCCTCGGCCCTTGTCGTGGACAGATTAAAGTGCGCCAGTTTACTGGCTGCAGTGGACATGAAGTGACTTTCAGGGGAGGAGAAAGTTATTGAAAAGTGCAACATCTAGTCCCGAGCGCACAGAGACCTCGTTTATCAGCGCTATATAAATCTATCTATTTTTTTACATTTCATTTTCATTTCATTTCATTTTTATTTCACTTGTAATTTGCAACTTAACTTAACTACTACAAGTGCCGAGGACCAAGGAGGCCGTAGGCCTGTAATTAAGGTCCCCGGACTAATCTAATGACCTAACTAATAACAATAAATTAAAAGGATTAAATAATCGAAAAAAAAAAAAAAAAAAAAAAAGAAAAGAAGCCAAGCCGGGAAGATTTCAACAGATTGAACATGAGATATGATTTTGTTAATCCTAGTTATCAATTATTCAATGGAATTCCCGATTTCATCAATACATTTTTTGGCTTTGTCAAAGAGTAAATTCTAGTTTTGTTATTCATTTTCACTCCTTTTCACGTTGTGTGTTTACACTCACTGCAACCTTACCTCTAGCCCTATCTCAACTAGTTTATTGTTTTAACCATTCTTGCCTCTCACTTTTGTTTGTGTAAGCAATTGGCTTTTTCTAACCTCACTCACTCGACACTGAGGAAGGAATAGTGTTGTTCAAAACTTTCTTGCTGTTTCCTTACTTAACATTTTAGCTGTTGCTTATCAAACTTCTACCGAGATTCAGCCATTGTTTCCAACAGCATTATTGTTTTTTTTTTTTTTTTAGTATTTTGGCTTTTCTATTTATATGTACAGTATATATATAATTTATACATGTATGTATGTATATAACCAGATCATTAAGAGTAGAGTGCTTGATATAAGATAAAAGCATTAAGGCATTAGGTTAAAAACTCAATATTTTGCTTAAACTACAAACATATTAATATTGTAACGCTTATATTTGTATTATGTATGCTTAAATAGTATGCTTATTCGAAAAAAATACCGTTTGGTTGTGTATTTTTGGTACAACAGAGGATTGTTTAGAACCATTGGTTTCAGACGACATCAACATAGATGGTAGTTTTACGCATGGTTCATCAGTAATTTTTTTCTGTAACAATGGTTACGAAATCCTGCCCGCTGGTGCTACATCTGCAACATGTTATGACGGTGTGTATAACGATACATTGCCACATGGATGTCGAGGTAACATTTTCAGAAAATTATTCATAGATGTACGTGCAGTTGGGTAGCTAATTGACTTGTATATCTTTTATAAATGTTATTTATTATATGGGATATCCGTACTTTTGTATATACAAAATAAAAGTCAATTACATGGCTGACAAATTTAGTATTATATAATTTGTAAATAGTATTTAAATAAATACAGACGAAGTATCACATTGTTGAGAACAGGATCCAATAATCTTAAGGCTAGCAGCCGTAATGATAGAGACTAGTTACTAATACATACAAATACAAATGAACTTTATTAGAAATCTGCAAAATAAAAAAACACATTACAATACAAATTGAAGTTGAAGAAAAACAGATATAAATTCAGAATGTTATTTATTTTATGGGATATCCGTCCTTTTGTATATACAAAATAAAAGTCAATTACATGGCTGACAAATTAAGTATTATATAATTTGTAAATAGTATTTAAATAAATACAGACGAAGTATCACATTGTTGAGAACAGGATCAAATAATCTTAAGGCTAGCAGCCGTAATGATAGAGACTAGTTACTAATACATACAAATACAAATGAACTTTATTAGAAATCTGCAAAATAAAAAAAACACATTACAATACAAATTGAAGTTGAAGAAAAACAGATATAAAATCAGAATTTCCCTCTTCAGTTCATAACAAAATGCTATGCAATTTATATTGGCTTAACGAAGTAGAAGATGCATATCATTTTTGTCCTGCTTAAAGTCAGAAAGAGTCATAACTTCCGTCTCACTACCTGTTTAATGTTACTCTATGCGCTACTGTTCTAGATGGGAAATAATGTCGGGCATGCATACATGCATAACAGACAACATCATCCTCTCTAAAGTTTTTGTTTTTTTTCTGAATGGCGAACAATATGCAATTTCGAGCCTACACCACAACTGAGCACATGAACAGCAAACGCTGTTAGCAACACACATTAATACAACAGTTTAGTAAAGAAATTAACATGAATCCTTGTTAGATTTGAAATGAAATTTCTTTTTGTAAGATATTGACGAGTGTACGCAAGGAGCTGATAATTGTGACGCAATGGCAACTTGTATCAATACTGACGGTAGCTATACTTGTAGATGTCATGACGGATATCAAATGGTAGAAAAACAATGCATTGGTAGGGAGGTTTTTTCTGTTTTTGACTGATTGTTTTATTTAAATATTTATTGTCATATAAATTTGTTTAAATTTAGGCGTAAGTTATTTTTCAAGTCATAATCATGCTTTTGTTTATATTCAGTTAAATCGCATTGTTCATTTCTTTAAACTAATGAACTTTTTATGACGTATAACTCTTACACACAAGGTTAAAGATTTTGTATCTATAAATACACATAGAGAGCCGCGATTAAAAAGAACTTCTGAGCCAATAATATTGAATTAAAGAAATTAATTTATTTGAATTACTTTATCTAATTTTAGATATTGACGAATGTGAAGGTGAACCGTGTGCTAGATCAGGTACATCAACCTGTGACAACAATAATGGTAGTTTCAGCTGTTACTGCAATGAAGGCTATTTCGGCGATGGATTTACTTGCCAAGGTGTGTCAATAATAAATAGGTCAAATAATAAGCAATAAGATAATCTATTTGTCATTTATCTTAATTATGAATTGTGTATGAAATATAATTGACTTTTTTCCTGAATTATTAACCAATTTGATTATAGTTATAAGGAAAAATCCAATGGGCAAAAGGCCAAAAGAAATAATAACATTTCTTTAAATCTCTAATACCATTCGTTAGTCAAGCTTTGCTACAACAGTCATAGCTTGTCATGATTTACTAATTAATTCTTTTAATTCGTTTCAGTAATTTCATATTGATGTTTCATTCTATTTTATCAGAAATATTTTTCTTGCCATGGGGAGTTGAGGAAGGTGATATGAATCTACGTGATGACAATACTATACAATCTACGGAACTTATATCTCCAACTTTTACACTATTGACCGGTTTCCCATATTTTGGTGACTTCTTTAGTAGCATTTACGTATGTAAATTTATTCGTTCAATTTTAGATTTTGCATTTTTTATGCGTAGTTTTTATTTTATTAAGTTTAATAATTGTACTTGCCTTATGTACCATAAAGTGCCATTGTTTGTTTTTAAAACACCCTATGTAAAATTGAATTCAAGACTCGCGGCTTGTTATTAAAATCCCTTATTTTAATCAAAAATTGGTTTACAGCTATCCAATGAACAAACTTCTTTAGTTGTTATTGAAAGAAAAGTATCAGCCCCTGACCGAATGCTGGGAAACTTATACAAATATATAAATTAAAACACAAATTGGAAACAGTACCTGTATATCCAGTACCTCTTTTATTTTATCTCATCATTATCACCATCCCGTTTGTCCCCTCGTGGGGCGGGGGGGGGGTCGAGTCGTCTCATTATCGTCCTCCATCTGGTGCAGTCCATCGATCTCTTTCTGGGTCTCTCCCTTGGTGTGCTCCCATTTTCCACTCTTTCTGCTGCCCAACTTATCATATCAGCCCCTTCTTGTCTCATTACATGTCTGTACCATCTCCATCTGCACTGTTGGGTTTTATCTCTCAAACGTGTCATCTTTGTTTCCTTCCGAATCTCCTCATTCTTTATTCGTCCCCCAGTGTGGCTCATCATCTCCGTATGCTCCAGCTTCTTCACCTGCGATTCCTTGATGGCCCATGTCTCAGCTCTGTACAGTCCCATTGGTCTGACCATTGTTTTGTGTACTTGGCTCTTTAGCTTTGTTCGCATTCTTTTATCGTAGATGACTCCACTTACATTCCTCTAATATTATGAAATATTGCCGTACTGGTCTATAAAATGAAATGAATAGTAATGTTTTTGTATACAATATATCATGTTAATTCAACATATTTATGTTTAAATAGATTTCTGAAAATGGGATCATAATTCTAACAAATGAAATCGATGAAAGATTTGCTTTCCCAAATCCTCCAGTCGAAGGAATAAGCTCTGACTCGTCTATACATATCGTTTCTCCCTTTTGGTCTGATATTGACCTTGAAGATGATACAATTGGAAATGTATATTACCAGGTTTGTAAATAACATTAATGTTTTTTAGTTCTAATTATGTAACATGAAAAACAAACAGAACAAGTTTATACGACATTACAGACTCTCACCATGTTGTCGAGTCGGTACCGTATTGAAACTGACTGGCTGGAGTTACATGGTTAGATAAGCGGCCTGAAAATGTCAGTGTCAGTGTCAGTGTGTGAAGTTTTGAAGTAAATTGGTTCAGTAGTGTTTGAGTTTTATGCCAGGAGGACACACATGTACAGACGAGGATAGCAAAGCAGACTACAATTTAACTGAAGTCTATTAGTTTACTAAAGCTGGTCTAAATACTAATTATATAATTACAATTGCATTTTAATATTTTAGAACTTTATTACATGAAAAGCAGACAAACTTGATAAGTAGTCAGTTAAAATTGTAATTACCAATTTCAGCAAACATAATAAATTTTATAACATTCGTTGTGAAAATTGTGGTCTAGAATATGTTACAAAAACGTTAACACAACGTGTAGCTACGTTTGCAACGTTACATCTACCTTAGTCAGAAATTACGTAATAAAAACGAATTCAAGATTCTACAAAAACCTTTTGAGCAAACTGCAACGTTATTTAACGTTGCCTACAATTGTTAGCTAAGATGGTCATATCAAAAGAAAAAAATAGGTCTGGAAAACAGGCTATAATACAAATTTATAAACTGCTAATTAACAGTGATTTAATAAATACTCAAATTATGAATTATATTACATTTATTTTAATTTTTTTAGGTTCGACAGTCAGTCACAACAGGCTTAGACAGAGTAAGACGAAACACGAATCATGATGAAGTACTCGCACAAGCATCAACAAGAGTAATGGAATTAATGGAGCAAACTGACACGTCACTTCCCGATAGTGTCACATTTGAAGCTAACTGGATGTTAACAGTCACGTGGGATAGTGTACCGCAATATCCAGTAGATAACAATCGTGATAAGGTTTGTAGTTTGATTATATTTAAATCCATGATACTCTAGTACGGTTGGATCTGCAACCCATAAGATTTGTGTTATTGTGGTGAGGGAATTCTGTTACAAATATCCTGTTTTTATTATTAACATACCGTAAAATCTCATAGAAAAGCCACATGGACATTTCGAAAAGAAGTCCATCACTAAAAGAAGCCTTCCCCACCTTTTTTTAGCTTGCAAAAGTAATCTTAAAAAGAAGCCTCTAGAAAAGTAACCTATGAGCTTCTAAACTCATAATATGGGCTTCTTTCGAGATAGCGGTTACATTAAGACAGACGTTAACTTTCATTTTGATGATAGCTTGTCAATATCAGTATTATATTAATATAATAACATGGTATAGTTTAAAAATGTCGTATAGTAGCTTTTCCAAAATGTACAGCATTCATTTTAAAAAGAAGCCCCCTCTTTATCTTGCAAAAGTAATCTCGAAAATAATAACCCATCTCTAAAAAGAGGTCAATCTTGAAAAAACGTCCATTCAAGAGTCCTAAAGAAGAAGCCCACTGCTTTTATTCGATGTTTTATGGCATAAATTATCAAACATCTTACATTAGTTGCCACTTTCATGTCGCGTTAGGACATTGATTTATATCCTACGTAGACCTACATATAACCTGCGAACGCAAAACGCTATTTTAACATTTACCATCATTCCGACCATTATTGTTATAAGTCAACATCATCATTATCTCCAACCTGTCAGGGTACTGCTGGCCGATGTCCTCAAACTCCATTCTGGTCTATTCTTTGCCAGACTTGCCCAGTTTACCCTTTAACCCCTTTTTGGAAAAGGTTACTCCGTCTGTCAAGTCATATTACTAACTTGTTACATGGTTATAATTTATTTTATTTATGTAATCACCGGAACGGAGAAATAAAATAGTACAAACTTTTAATAAACAAAACAATTGCATTATTTAAGATATCGGAACAATTGAAAATAAAACTTGAAAATAATTTTATAATTTCTCTCTATACAAAAGTAAGTATTAAAAAATAACACAACGTTGTATGGTTATTAAGTCAGCAATTACGTTAGAATAATAATGAATTAGAGTAATAATGGAAAATATATACCGTAAGATTAATACCAAGGAAAGTTATGCTTATTGATAATTATTTCCTTATCATTGTAGTTTAGCTTTTAATATTATTCCTTATATTATTGAGCTTTTCCAGCGTTAGCAGAAAAAGCCATTGATTTTGTTTTGTGTTTTTTTTTCTTTTATCCCCTTTTTCTATGTTTTTGCGCTGGTGTTTTGGTAACAAGCAAAGACAAAACCATAACATTTTTTATTTATTTTTATTTATGACGTCAATTTACATATTTTGTATATTAATAAACGACTAGTAAACTTTTATGTTAACACAATTTCTTAACTTTTTTGGCTTTATCCTTCTCCTGTATTTAAAGAAAAAGGTATATTATTATCATATTATAACTGTTTATTTGTACTTTATAGACTGCTACCTTTCAAGCAGTTCTTGTTACGGATGGAACTTATAGTTTCGCCATTTTCAACTATGAAATTGGAGGAATGCGATGGAATCCAGACATACTCGAACAGAAAAATGTAGTGATAGGATATGGTGTTGGATCAAGTGGTGAATTATATAATGCTCAACAAAATACAACCTTATTCCCGTCTTTAAACTCAAGATACTTTCCTGATATGACTAGTAATACTGGCTTAGAAGGACAGTGGCTGTTTAGTCTTCAAAATACAGACACCATCACTACAAACTTCAGGAAATTTTGTCAAGATTGGCGCAATCAACAGGACGACGATTTTGATGCTGGTTTACCATGGCTAGATGGTCTAGGGACATGCCCGTGTTTTTCTGGGCAAGGTAGAAATGATTTAAGATATGGAAGATCAAGACGTGTCCGTAGTTCTCGGACACAGAATGTTATTTCGCCTAGTCTACTCAATGAAATTGAAAGTTCAATCGGTAAGACCTTTAAACATTTTTAGCCGGTAGAATACTAATGCTTCATACTACGAAATACAATTATGCAATTTTATGTATTTTTAATGTTTAGACATATATTTGTTATATCATATTGTATTTTATGGAGATCCTGTTTTTGGTGGTTTGACACAATGTTGGGTCTTGAATAAATACATAATTAATTTAATTAATTAAGTGGATCTCATCTCAGCTTCTAACTAAAATATGTCACTTGATTCGTTAAGAGGACGACCAAGAAATGGAACCTATCGAGTAGTGTAAAGACTATAAGATAACTTTTCGAATTATAAAACATGAAAGAGTAATCCTTTATTGAAATTGAGAAACTATGACCATATTCATGAGAAGCTGTACCTGGGAAATTATATTCAATAACTGGTCTGATAATATTTTTTGTAATGTGTTTATTTCAAAAATATGTTAAAATATAACAACAAAAATGAGGCCTAGTTAATTTCAATACATACTACCGTATCATTCGATTCCAGGCTACCCTTTTTGTCTAAGTTCCTCTCCAGCAAACAGGTTTGGAGCAGGTATGACATGTTGCTATAGAAGTGATGGTTCTTTGGTCGAGGGCTATGGTGAAGATGTTTTCTCTAGTAGTTTTGTAAGCAAGACAGCACCAAAAACTGGACTCTTCTTTAACAATGATATATATTTCTTGTGGATACGTAAGTATCAGGTCTTATTTTAATAGGCTTTTTTCTAATATTAATATGACACAGATATGAAAATGATAACACGGATATGAAAAGTAGAAGAGCAATACTTATTTATACATTGGTCGACAAGGAGAAATACGCATCCGAAGATGTATTGGCAAAGTCCAAAATAATCTAACTAAAGATATTTAATTCATTATCTTATGGAAAAATAAGAAGTATCATACTTCAGTTCAACTAAAGATGTAACTCATATTGAGTCCTGTGATGATTTTCAATATATTTTTAACACTTCATAATTATTTTCTTAACACATTTAAACACGATCTCCTTGTTAATTACAAATCGCTAATATTGCAAAAACTAAAATAATTGATAGTTCACCTAACTGGTCCCATTTGCTATTTAAGTAAGACCTAGATATTCATCGTCTTAAACCTAATTTAAAATGTGGTCTCAAACCATAAGGAGAGTTGAAATTGTTTTTCTGATATAATCAACCCACCTAATTGCCTCTCTTATAATTACCATTGTTTTACGTATTTGCATATTGTAGAATTTGTTTGTAATCACTGTCAAAGTTTTCTCTTTCCTGAAGAGATGACACAATCAATGTCGAGACGTTGAATCATTCCTCTCTCCCTCCCTCTCCCCCCCCCCCACTCTCTCTTTTTTTATTCCGAGTAACATTCATTCTATGTCATTTAAACATAATCAGTGAATTTGTTGGTTGTTTGTTTTGGTTTTGTAAGAAAAATTAATTGAGTTATTACAGAAAAAAAATGAAATGAGTATAACCGTTTAATAAATTATTTTAAGAACAAATTATTTTAAAAAATATTTGTAAATAATTTTTTTCAGTTGATGATATCCTTCCGCGTTATGCCTGCTGCTCTAAATCAAATGATTCTCACTTTTGCGATCTCTACACTCAAGTTCGACCAAAAGGGACTTGCACAGGCTACATTGCTCCTCAATTAGGTAAGTATTATGGTATAATTTAAGATATTTTCTTGATGCGTTATCTATTACTGATACTGGTTCCTATAGACACGTTTACAAAATGTCTGCGGTACACTCACGTTGGAAATCATCAGGCTTCAAAATCAATACAAAGCAAATAAAGAGTCAACAGACTATAGAAGTAGAGTAGCGCATTTTCATTTTAAAAAGCTATAAACTACACTTATTTGACTTTAATTTTCATTTGTGTGACAAAAAAGTCTAAATTCATATTAACTGCTTGTTTTAGGCTGGATGTTTGGAGACCCTCACTTGCGAACTCTTGATGCATTTGAGTACACATTCAATGGGCGTGGTGAGTTTATTCTGGTGACAGTAGACGATGGTGCTTTCATATTGCAAGGTAAAATGGAGACGCCAAATGCTGGCAATGATTCGGTACAGGCTACAGTGTTTACTGCATTTGCTGCACAAGAAGACGCAACACAAGTAAGATACAGAACTTTTAAGTGTTTTGCTTGCACCTTATAAAAATATAAAGAAAGCCTATGTATACACAATAATAATTTGTAAACTTGATATTAACAATTACCCTAAAGTATGCTTGGGTGATTAAATCTTTAGTATAGGGTTGTGTGTAAGACAATGAAAGTCCTCTCTCAATCCTTTTTAATTTAAATAAGAATAAGCTTACTATTCGCCAATAATGGAGTGCTGCTGCAATATGTTAAAATTAGTTAAAACACTCTATAAGATTCAGGAGGGATTTCTAAATCTAATTAAGAGATAAAAACGGCGCAACATTACATCTCTTATAAAAGTTTAGTAGTCACCTTTTGTATATTTTATAGATAATTGCTTGTGTGCGCTTTTAATTTTTGTCAAGGTGTATTAATCTATTTATTCTCGCTTGCTACATAATGTGTATATAGGAGTGTGAACAAAAAGGGTGCCCAACAACAGGGATTCCAACCCGGCAACCTACTGCTGAAGATCAATATGATACGCCATAGCAGCACAAAGCATTTTTGTAATCACTAGTGAATGCACAGTCGGGCTCAAACATTCAGGATAACAAAATCCGAAATACCATAACATTTTGCTTTGGTGTACTCTAATTATCTAATTATTATATATTTATTTTCCTTTTTTGACAGGAGATTACGCTCCACCAGAAGATCCTAATTTTTCCATTAAGCTTCCGTCGGAAAATACTACCAATACAGTAGCTGTTGCTTGGGGATCTGGTATTTCTATATCAGTTAGCCTCACTGGACAACTATTGGAAGTCATATTTTCTGCACCAGAAACTCTACGTGGATCTCATACAAAAGGGCTGTACGGTATGAGTATTTTTCAACTGCCTTAACTCGTAGTATAATATAATTACGGAGCTTTCTTTATAAGAGTAATACATTTTTTTTTTTATTTATACTATCTAACGTACCAATGCATATCATCACGTCGCAATATATTTACACCATATTGTTTTTTTTTTAACGTAGGATAGAGGGAAATTGTTTTAAAGAAGAGCTTTAAGCTATATTATGGGTTTTGTTGCAATCTGGATATCATTTTAACTTCTATCATATTAGGTCATTAAATCATCATTTATAATAATTGTATAGGTGTGTGGAATGGAAACACAGGTGATGACTTGACGTACCCAAACAACACAATTTTAGCGATGCCAGAAGATCGCAATTTGACAGAGAGTGAGCTATTTGATTTCGGCTTAACATGTAAGTTGTTTTTAATGTCTTCTGTGCGATAGAATATTTACGTTAGACTGTAAAATTTTGTCTTAAAATTAAGGTAAATAACTCTATTAATCGATGCCTACTAATGCCTGTTTCTATCAATTATCAACCAATGATGAGGCTTTATAAATATTGGGTTTTTCAATTAACAAAAGGGAGAACAACAGCCGAATCGTCTTTATTCGTTTACCCAAGTGGAACAAGTTGGGAAGACGTCAACGACCTCAATTTTAAACCGATTTTTCTTGATAAACTGGAGGCAGAAAAAGCTAATGACCCAATATACCAAGAAGCAAAGCAGAAATGCGGTGATAATAAGGAATGTCTTTTTGATGCTTTGGCCACTAATGACGTAAATGTTGGAGCCATGACCCTTGCAACGAGTGAAACAAATAACGAAGGGGTTCAAGACTTAGGTAAAACTGTTTCCATTCTTTACCCTCTTTTGTTATATTAATAGGAAACAATATTATTTAATATTCTTGCTTCTTGACTTTAAATTATTAAGGGGATTGTCATGCCAAAACAAGCATCAGTGACCAAAACAAGAAAATGGACATTTTAATATATTCATATTCCCCACTATATAAGCTTTAAAATGATAGGGCATTTACTGGAATCGACTTTCTGTTGCCGAAGTTATGTGTAAATGTATTTCAGCTTCTATGTACTAAAGTATACAATACTGGCACATTCTTTTGCTAATTGTCCAGTTTAAGATTTAGTGACAGTACACTGGTTGTGGAAATACATGCCTCAATTATTGTTTTTTTTTGTTTTTTTCTATTATTGTATTAATAAATAATTGCTGTTTGATATCAATTAGAAAATTTTCCCCCAAACATCACTGGAATTGTGGATAAAAGCACAAACAAAGCACTCGTAGGAAACAGTAGACTTAATGTTATCGTTGGTGAAGCATATAATTTGGAAGTGGATGCATATGACAGTAATGGTGACGAGATATCGTTTTCATTGGAAGAAACACTACCTGGTGGAGCAATTAGCTCAGGTAAGACTACAATGATGAATTTAAGAGAGAGGGCGCATTTCAAAATATAGGAAAATGGAGAAAACAGAAAATTATATTCAATTTTGTCTGAGAGTGCCATGATCATACAATTTCTTAAATGAACCATAGTGGGACTGAAGTGTGAAGGTCCCTCCCTTGGCCCCTCTAACTAAAGTTTCTGGATTCGCCACTGGACTATATTTTGATTATTGATAAAATATAACTCCATATTTCAAAGGATTTAATTATAATTAATTAGGTAAAAGAAAATAATTAATGGTTATGTGTTAATCTAATTAATGACATTTTGACGCAAAGCTGTTAATGAACCAAATTCCTTACTCTAAACCATAACGAACGGATTTAGTTGTATTAGCGCCTTAGCGGTTAAGAGGCTTAATCGCAGTGTGCTGGGTTTAATTCCCGTAACTTAGGAACTTTTCCTCCCCACTAGAAACAACTCCATGGCACTTCCTATGCCTCATAGAGATACTTGGTTTATAAAGCCTCGTCTATCCTGAATTTGTAAAAGTTCTTTGCTGTTAGATGCGAATGATTTTTTTTTAACTTAGGAAATAGTAATATTATGTTACACTAATCCTTCCATGATTAATCTATATCAATAATACTGCTGGAATAGACCAGTACATAATGCTTTTATCTACTGTCAGATGGTATATTTACTTGGAGACCTGCCAGCACCTATGGAGTGAGAATAACTATTATTGCTACAGACAGTCGTGGAGCCATATCGGCACTACCACTGGCAGTGGTCATATGCAGTTGCCTAAATGGTGGTACATGTAATTTCAACCAGCTTGTTGACGGATCAGATATCGTGAATAATAAATATGCAGTATGTATTTTCTTAATGATAAAAACAATAATAGTATATGGATAGATTACGGCCTAGGGTAGTTGAATTAAATTAGTCATATTCCATAAAGGGTTATTGCTATTTTTTTTTCTTTTTCTTTTTTTGTATTAAACTCAATAATTAACATAGAAAATTTAACCTAGTTAGCTTAAAATTTAAACTGAAATGTCTCCATAATAAAAAAAAAATTCTAAATAACTTTTTTAAATTGTTTAAAAAAAGGCAAAAAAGGACAATTAAAGTTAACTTAACCAAATCTTGAATAAAGTAATTTTTTTTTTTTTTTTATATTTATGACTCGAAATATATTATTTATATTATTGCACTTTCCATAGGTATCTCAGTGTGACTGTACTCCGGCGTGGACGGGCTTTGATTGCAGTATGGACTATGATTCTTGCTTAGACGGCCCATGTTACCCTGGAGTTACCTGTTTTGATGCTGTCGCTCCAGATGTCAATGCAACGTGTGGAAATTGTCCATCTGGTCTGGAAGGGAATGGATTTAAATGTTACGGTACAAATATTCTATTCGATTATTTGAATAAAACTTGCAGCGCAGTAAACATGTGTTTTACACATAGTGCAACATTTATATTGGGATAAAATTCAATTTTAAAGGTATTACTGATCATTTGTTCCAAGAATGCTGTATCTCAGCCTTTTTATTATTTTTTTTTAATTGATATTGATATGTTGGATTTACTCTTTAGACCAACTTTGACATTATATAGTACCGGTTATTGTGGTTGCGGTGATAATTACTGTATTATTTATGGTAAAATATGTTGATCTGTTGTAGATTATGATGAATGTACTGAAGGAAATAATCAGTGTGAACAGGAATGCATAAACACTTTACAATCTTACGACTGCAATTGTTTCTCTGGATATGAATTACTTCCTGACAAAACCACCTGTATGGGTAAATATTATTATTAGTTGAATGCTGTATGTATACATAAGTTTTTTTCGATATATCTGCCAATGAATACAAAAATTATACATCATGTCTGTCGTTAAATTATTTTTATTTTTATTTATAAAATTAGACGTGGACGAATGTTTGCTTGGAAAAGACAACTGTCCAGAAACAGCAGTGTGTTCCAATACAGAAGGATCATTCAATTGCATGTGTTTCAGTGGGTATTCAGATATCAGTGGAGAAGGAACAGTTTGCAGTGGTAAGTAGTTCTTGATATGCTTAAAGACGTAATCTTATTTTAGACTTTGCGACTATCAAAGGAAATTTCTCCTAATATTTGCCTATTACAGATAAATAACTTTCCAGAGCTGTTAATGTAGTAAAGCCAGACACGCTGCGTCGATGAGGGTAGTACGACCATCTATCTCTACTCTTTCTGACGATGCGATACCCTTTGCTGACTTTCGGTGGCAGTCTGAGTATTTAAAAAGGAAATAGAGTTGTTGCGCGAAACGTTGCGTCGGCAAATGATCGTGGGCGCAGTGCATGCCTGACTCAACATAGGTGTTGTTCGAGGCCTCCTCTCCCATGATTCAGGTTGTAAAGCCAAGTCTCTCTCAAAAAAAATATTAAAACGAAACATATATAAAGTAATGTGCATTAGAGAATCAATCAGTGCATTTATCTACAAAGAAGGGTTACCCGGTGTTCTGCCATGCCCTGTTGTGGACTAAACGAGTGTGCCGATAACAAAACGGCATAATGTGAGGCCTTTCAGGAGTAAACTTATGTATAGAGAAAGATTTTGACCTACCGCTTCTTATCCTCGAGAAATGGGAAATAAAAATACTTAAGCTGGCGTCACACGGTCAGGTTTTGACTTCAAATATTCATCCAGTGCAAAAATGATTAATGGAGCTTACCTAGTTTGTGTCCCAAGTCAGTGATTTTACTGCGAACTTTGCTTTAACCTGTGGTCCCCTTGGGTGTCCGAAGTGATGGGAAAGGAATAGAGCATGTCCTATTTTCTACAAGTATTTGACGACATTTGAAAATCAACAGCCAATCGCAGCGCAGAAAGTTTAGACCTTTGGGAAATAATAGGGATCTGCATAGAAAAAGATCTTGTATCAGTAGACTCACAGCATTTTTTTGAGTTTGGTAGAGAAGAAAATACCCCCAAAAAAATGCCCAAAAAAAATCTCTACAGATTTAATTGAATTGAATATTACCAAGAGGAAGAGCTGTTGTGGAATATAAGAATAAGTGACTAAAAAGACAAAGATAAAAGAAAGGCTACACTAAATAAAATTGCTCTGAAACTTGGAATTAGTGGTGAGTAATTTGTAGTTATTTATTCTTCCTATATAGGCCTATCAAAGTACACTACATATAAAATACAACTTAGTTGGCCTACGTAACACACAGTAGCTTGAATTATGTTGTGGTAAATTACACAGTACACTGTAGACGGTACATTTACAATATAAGTACACATTCCATTTTAGCATTCATTTAATTTCACAGTACCTGATGTACAGTCCAAAATTAACAGTTTTCGAACGTACTACAAAAAAGAAAAGGCTAAAGTGAAAGAATTTGTTATGTGTGAATTATTGCATTTATGTCTTGCCTGATGCCAAAAAAACGTAGAGTCAGTGCAAGACGCTCCCCTGGTGAAATTTCCTTTCGCATAAGTGTATCTTCTCGTTTGATGATTGGAAAGATTTTTTGCAAAATATCATCAAAGGACGACTTATCCATTCGGAGAAAGTTATTGTATTTTCCCTTATTGCCAGCATCCAACTCTTTTAATAGACTATGATATGCTCCATATTTATTTCGTTTGTGAATCCACAACCTAACCCAAGTACGTTTTTTTTTCAATCTCTTAACTTTCTTTTTCTTTTCCATTTCATTTACCAAATATACAAGACTGACCACAGCAACTAACAAATTTACATCCGTATTGAACAAAAACTAAAAACGTCTGGGTGTTGGCATATCTAGTGGCCTAATTTTACTTGGTGTTAATAGAGATTGTCCCTAAAATTCTTATGGGCTGACAAGTTATATATCAAACAATTTAACAGTGTGGCTAGGGAATACCAAAAGTCTACCTACTCCTGTCAAAATGAAAAACTGTATCAAAATTTTTGTAAACATTTGACCGTGTGACGCCAGCTTTATACAATTCAATATTTATATTTCAGATATAAATGAATGTTCTCAATCTGATTACCCGTGTGACGAAAACGCTGTTTGTTTTAATAACAACGGATCCTATACGTGTTCATGTACAAAGGGTTTTGATGGGAACGGTCAGACATGTCAAGGTAAGTAACTTTTTGGGGTTGTGTTTAAAATTATCATTATTATTTTTACATCAACGACCACAAGATTAAATATTTTCATAAAAATCTAATTTATTTATTATTTACAAGGATTTCCTGCTGTGAATTTTTACTAGGCTTTCCAGCTGCGATCAATTATAGCTTAATCATAGCTCAACTGAGCGTATAAGCCAGTTGTATTAAAGAGAGTGCCTAGGGTAAGATTTTCCAATATACCCCAATGACCTAACGGTATAGTACTCGCCTTGATAGCGATAGGCTAGAGGTTCGAATCCCGCTACAGACACTTTTCTTATACAACTAAAAAAGGAACTTTGAAGGGCATGCTTGATAAGATTGTAACATCGTGTTCCTATTTGAGCGCTGCTGTTATTAAATAATAATGGCCCTATATCTGGTTAACTGGCCACTACACAGAGATAGAAAATTTAGTGTAAATACTCATTCAAATAATGTTCGCACTGTGATTGAATTAATTTTATCGTTTTGTTTAAATTTGAAGCTCACTACAGAGTTACCTTGCACTGTGTGAACCTTAAATCTATTTTTACATAAATTGAATTAGAGAAAAAATAATGTTCATTGTACGGTTCTATGCTTAGTTTTTTGGAAAACATTCATGGTTGGTTGAGTATTATTAGCGAAGTTACAGATAGGCCTACTTAATTCAGTAGATAATAGCCATGTAAATATTTCATAAACAGTACTTTTCAGTTAGATTTAGTGATTGATCTTTGGTATAAATGTTCTTCAATATTTCTTTATTACATAAGCCGCAAACACATGAAAATTGTCGAGATGCCATTTTTTTTTTTTTTTTCATTTTGGGTACTATCGTAGAAACCGACGATTAAAGTAAGTTTTTCTAGAGCCAGGCAAATGTTATATTATTGTTTACATGTTATTGTTTATATTTGTTTTCAGATGTTGATGAGTGTGCGCGTGCAGTTCATGGATGTGACATGAACGCGGATTGTGTGAACACCCCTGGGTCATATGTGTGTTCATGCTCTGAAGGATGGTCTGGCAATGGAACAAGTTGTTACGATATTGATGAGTGTCGTTCTCTTAGCTCTTTGTGTCATCAACGTGCGTCTTGCACCAATACAATCGGAAGTTACTTTTGTTCTTGTCCATCAGGATACACTGGCGATGGAGTTACATGCATTGGTACGTATTTGATATTTTCCCTATCTTATGGGAATTCGATGATGTGAAAGGTGAATATTCAATTGTTTATTGCTATTTGAGTCATCTGGCGCAATTATCCTCTATCACAAGAAATTCACTATATCATAAAATAGCAATCAAAATTGCACTTTATATAACACCATCTTCTTCAGCAGCAAGTAAACCTAAAAAGTAATCTGTAGTGCTGATAATAGCGAGATTAAGGGCCTGGTCGTCGTAAGCGAAACTAAGAGCATAATGGCAAGAAAGATGAATGGAAACGAGAGGTTCGAGCAGGGAAAGGAAGAAAGAAAGAATAACGAGAATAATGAAAAGAAGTGGAGTATGAGCGACGTTGGGGAAAGACGTGTGTAATGGATAATCTTGGATTAAAATGATTTTTGAAAGAAACGAATGATGAAATATTTTAGCCTAGATGCAAATAAAATTATATTGCATCTAGAGACGATGGTAACGTAGGTAGTGGAAAAAGCAGAAGAATCTTGATTTTTTGCAAAAAGGGTTTCTAAAATGTTAGTAGGCCTAGGTCTTAGGCATAAGTGGATACAACATGTACCTTTTGATAATTACTTGGAAACGTGATAACAACTTATGTCTTCAAATATTGCCCCGAGTCGTATCTGGGTACCCTTCAAAAATTCGTAGCTTAATAATTATCAGCTTAGCACTTTTTATTGAACAATTTGCAAATAAACCACTTTTTACAGCAATTGTCAACACTGACAAACCTGGTCATTTATCCATCGAGATTTTGATGGAAAATTTAGGGATAAGGAATGGGATTGAATTTATATTGCGGACTGTGTAGGCCTAATGTGATGTCGGTGGAATGTGGAAATGCTTAATACAGTATGAAAACATTTTATTAGGCAATCAATGTAAATTTAGATCATATTAATCAAAAAGGGTATAATTGAATCATTAAGTCTTTTAGAAACGTTAACGGCATGCAATGAACAATAATTTTGTAAAAGTAAATTGCCATTTCCAAAAACGTTATGAACCAGCAGTTTAGTTGATATACCGCCCTGGAGGTAATGTTAATGAGGAACTTGTTTTGTTTAGTTGAATAATTATAGTTGATAGAGCAGGTTGCAACTTGAAAAAAATGTGTATATATAGGCCTAGTCATTATATTGGCGGAGGGGTCCATCTTTTGGGATATCTAACTGTATTTTAAACAAACATATAATATGATGATTTTTATATTTTCTGTGTATAGGGTTATTGCCTACGGCCTGCGCCTCTAGATGCGAATTGCAAGAATCATAATTTAATTAATTAATTATTTTAATTTAATTTTTCCATGTTTTTGCCAGATATTGATGAATGTAATGAAGGAACAAACAACTGCACTGAACAATCCATTTGTTCAAATACACCAGGCGCCTACTACTGTCAGTGTAAAACTGGGTACATGACAGAATCAGACGGTACTTGTACAGGTAAGGTTGAAGATTGAAGGTTCAATCGATTTAATCATTTACATAAATATATGAATTGTGTTTTTTCTGAGTTAATATTATAATTAGAATTAAACATGAATATAAAAATACTGTAACCACATAATTAATTGCACAGAATGCTGTAAATTAGCACATTTAGTTTGAGATAATAAAATATGCACCAAAAAACAAGAACCAAGGAAATCTTGAACGAAAACTCCAGGATTCTGAAAGGGTTGCTGAATAGAAATATTACATCCACTGAACATTAGGTACGACACAAAAACGAGGATCGGAGCATATCGATGGCTATGACTCACCATAAATTGATCGTTAACGTCTAAAGCAACTTTCTTTGCCATTTATTCCCATTAATGTCTTTACCTTAAAACAAAACAGAGGAATGTCCAGGTACCAACTGTATACGCCACTGATATATAGGCCCAAGGGTATTTATTGAAATATTAATGGCAAACTTAGACGTGTAGCTAGTAAAATATTTTCAGTGACAATTTTACTTAAGTGAGAAAAATTATATTAAGTGGAAAGTGCATACATTTTATATTGTAATACATTATATGTTAATATAGTATTTTAAATTTTATAATAGTTAATCAATTGAATAATTTAGTCAATCATGATTTTTTATTCTAACATTATAATTGGCCGGTATAGATATAAATGAATGTACCAACAATTCAACTTGTGATGTGAATTCGAATTGCATCAATAGTGCTGGTTCTTTTAGTTGTATGTGTAAAAGTGGCTACATTGGAGATGGATCAACTTGCGAAGGTCAGTGATAAATTAAAAATATACCGCCTGTTAAAAATATATAGAGACTTAAAAACAATAAATACCTTATCTAAATGCAAAAGATATTATTAATTGCCAATGAACACGGATTAAACTGAAATACTAATCATGCTGTAACTGATTTTCATACCCTTTAGTACAAAAAAATCAAAAGTGGATTGCTCGTCAACATAAAGTATTTGCAAGAAATGAATAAAGAAACTGTTTAAACGTTTCACTTAAGTATTTATTTCAAAATTTCATAAAAAAAAATCTGTCCTTTTAATCTATGACAAATATCCTAATATCCAAAATTATTAGGACCTAGTGAATAGAAGTTTAAGTGTTAAATATATTTTTAATTATTATTGGAATTGTTGTCACATTATTATTCTTCTTTTATTAATCTTCTTCTTTGTCTTCTTCTATTTTTTCCCTCTTCTATTTCTTCTTATTGTTATTTATTATTATTATTATTATTAATATTATTATTGGTATCATTTTATTATTATTTTTGTCGGCGTTATCGTTATCATCATCATCATTATCATCATCATCATTATCATCACCATAAACATTACTATCATTATCATCATCATCAACAACAATAACATCATCATCATCATCATTATGATGATGATTAAGGTAATCATGATATTAAAATGTTTGAACAATATTCTTAAATTTCTGATAATACCATTTTTTCAGATATTAATGAATGCCACCTTGGAACTGACAACTGCGAACAGACTTGCAACAACTATGTAGGTGCATTCTCGTGTGGTTGTTTTCAGAACTTTGATTTGCAAGAAGACGGCATTTCATGCGTAGGTACGTTGCCACTGTGCCCCTAACAATGTACATTTCCTAAGCTGTGCCTTAGGTAGGGCACTCACTGCGTCGAACGGCGGTCGTACGACGAACCCAACCCCGCTCCTTGAAAGCGCTAGAAGACGCGACCCCGTCTGCTGATTGTCGGTAGCAGTCTCAACAGATTGGCATTAAAAGGCGCGCGTCGTGACGTTGCGTTCTCCATTGAATCAAGTTGGTCAACAACCGGCAGGGGTAGTGAATGTATGTATATGTATATGTATGTATGTGTGTATATATATGAATATATATATATACATACATACATATATATATATATGTTTACATATGCTTAAAACATCTTTTAATTGGATTATTAATTGGTCCTATCGATTGAGGTGACTGCATAATAATATTATAATTATCATTATAATTATTATTTATATTAATATTGGTCTTCTTGTGTGTTTGACACTGGATAAAAGAGCGTATAGAGACATTGAATTTCAGTATGGTTTAAGACCATTTCCATCATCGTCATCATTATCATCGTCATCATAAATAGATAAACAAACAAGCAAGCAAGTACAGTAAACAAGCAACAAACGATAAATAAATATTATCAATATCATTATGATTATGATTAATGTTTTTATTCTTTATTTATATTTAATTTTATTATTATCACCATCGTTGTTGTGGCTTTCCAGTTGTTTTATTACCATCAATGTCATCATTATCTTCATTGTCATCATCATCATTATAATTAATATTATTATCTTTGCAGTTTCAGCCGAAGCACAGTGCTCAGAGGATCCATGTACCAACTCTTTCTGTATTATTGACAATAATGGTGATCCTACCTGTACATGCAAGCCAGGATATAACGAATTTAATGCTACTTATTGCATGGGTAAAGCGTAACGTAACCTTTGCCTTCTTTCATCACAGATAATGCATAGCAAGAATCTTGAAAAATAATTTCTGTTACATTGCAATGCAATACGTAATTGTAAAACAATGACTCGCTTCAATTACTGGTGAATATACAGGCATCCTACCATACCCTCATCTCACGCGAACCCTCATTCATTTTACATTAGGGCCTAAACAAATTCAATTCCATTCTTTATGTTACACTTATGTATACTTTTGTTTGAAATTAATTAGGTGCAGGAGCAATCTCATTTCATATAGTTTTCTGACTAATGCGGCGACACTTACTGGACAATGTTGAACGTATTTCTATATTTTTGTTCTTCCACAGATGAGAATGAATGTGGTATTAACGGAACCAATATGTGTGACAGTATCTGCGTTAATATTAATGGTGGGTATATGTGTGAGTGTGAGCCAGGCTATTCACTCAACCAAGATTTACGAACATGCTCAGGTAAATTGTCGTTTATAAAGTGTTTAACCGAAGAGTATAGAACTGCAAGATGTCCGACTCTCTGGGTTTCGTTGAAACGTTTAAATAAAAAGTACTACCACGAAATAGAGGGCGTCCTTCCAAATGTGAGTTTCGAACCGGAAAAGACTAAATCCACCAGACACGAGGAACAATGTTTAAATATTCTTTAGAATAATAATTTCGAAATTAGCAAATTGTATGCGTGACTCTGTGGTCGTCCTCGCACCAAGTATCACGGGAATTTTTATGTTATTTATAATTACTATGTTATTCATAATTACTATGGACCGTGATTAAAAGATTTAGGCCTAAACTACCAAATAAAAACGATAATTTATTCTGAAAAACTTTCGACTAGTACTCCAGGCTTAGTCTACTAATGTGTCCTCCACTACAACCTTCAGGATCTCAGGAGGAGTATTTGTAATTCAATCAATGTCATAATACAGGAAAGAAAATAGGCCTACACTACTACAGACCTATTATTGATCTTGAAAAATAAAAAGGTACAGTACAAGAAATTACTTTCGACTAGTACTCCAGGCTTAGTCTACTAATGTGTCCTCCACTACAACCTTCAGGATCTCAGGAGGAGTATTTGTAATTCAATCAATGTCATAATACAGGAAAGAAAATAGGCCTACGTACTACTACAGACCTATTATTGATCTTGAAAAATAAAAAGGTACAGTACAAGAAATTACCGTAATTCATCATAATTACAATGAATAATAAAATAAAATGCAAAATTTACAGGAGTTCATGAGATATCACAGACTCCAGCGAATATTGAATTTATTGACAAAATACACTCAATAACCTAGACCCTACAACAAGCTGATATACACCGATATGCTTATCAACGCTTTAATCCGGTTCGCTTTCCGGAATGTACACATAATTCTACTCGTTCCAACGCTTTCTTGGACTCGCTAGACACTAATAATACCGCCGTCACGCTTCCTGGATCTGATAATTGAATATTCATGATATTTAAATATAATTTTCCTCGTGGCTGGTGGGTTTAGTCTTTACCTTTCGAACTAACTCTATTCGAATTCCAATAGGGGCCCCTATCTCGTGGTGATATACTTTTTAATGTTTCATTGTGTGCATACAAAATCAGGGCAGTCGGACCTTTTGCAATTCTATAAGCTTTGGTTTAACCTTTGCTGAATTCATCTTGTTGATATTATAAGCCTCGATTAAAGAAAGGCCATGAGTCTTATTTTATTGTAAATTTTGAAAAGGTACGGTATCATTGTTATTTATGTTTCGTATGAGAAGCAAATATTTATTTTATCATGATACAAGACTCAGAAATTCGAAGTTATTTAAGTTTTTGAAAAACGTTTTAATAATATCTATTGTTGTACATAGTGTGTTATATAATTGCCATCATTTTCACTGTATATTTATATAGCGCCTTTTCTATTGCTTACAAAATGTTTCCTCCGAGTCTTGGAATACTGTTACGCACAACGTGCAGCATCTTGCATTTAGCAAAACTATTCAGCGTACTCTAGATAGGCATACCCAGTTAAAGAGAGCAAATGTAGAAGCTAGTGCCCGGAGATTTTACCGTTCCGCCAACACGCTTCTGCTAGGTTTGATTGTCCAAATGTTTTGCATAGAATGTTTAATTATTAATCTTTGTATTCTGACAGATATTAATGAGTGTGACACCAACCATACATGTTCCATTAACGCTAAGTGTACAAACATCTTTGGGTCATATCTATGTTCTTGTAAAGCGGGATACATTGGCAACGGCCAGGAATGTGAAGGTAATATATTGGTTTTAATGCAGACAACAGCCAATTTGTCATGTAAATATCTACTACATATCTAATATATATATATATACTGTCTCTTATACACATCTAGATGTGTATAAGAGACAGTTTAAATAGTATTATTTCGTGGTCTGTAGAAAATTAAATGAAGCTAAACGAATGTCATCCATCGAAAGCTAATGCTATCCAATTTTTGACACTCATGCATGCGCATGATGGTCGAGAATTAGATGCTTTAATCAGATTTGCATTCCCAACAAAGTCGCAATGGCCCAGTTGGTTAAGGCACCTGTAACAACCGATAATGTGAAAACGACAAATAATGTAAAAAAAAAATGGTTAACGCATAATATAAAATGGTTTGACACTTAATGTAAAAAAATAACGAATAATGTAAAAATCAACGCATAATGTAAAAAATGTTGCTAACGCATAATGTAAAAACTTTTGACACATAATGTAAAAACATTTTCTAACGCATAATGTAAAAACCTATCAACGCATAATTTAAAAACAAGTCTTCTCCCTTCCTCACGCCTGTTACTTTAACCTAGTGTCATCAGTGGTACCTGCCTGCATATCGGTTGTTGTAAGTGCGACTTAACGGTTCACCTGTATTTCAGAGCTTCTTCTTGGACAAATTATAAACAATTACTAAATGTACCTCCACGCCCATTGACGCTAGCTATATTCACCTGGGAAAAGCACGATTGAAACAATAGAAATAGGTATGTCATAATGATCAATGTATAAAACCAAAACAGCGACATGTACACCTAGTTTAAACTAAGGTCACTCTAGGATAAACGCAGGTTTCAATATTACGGAAGACCGTTTGTAACTTGGAAAAACAAAGGAGAATAATTGACATTAGGATAGATGATGTGGGTCATACGTATTTCTCTTAAAAATTCCCCCCCCCCCCAAACAATATGCTGTGTATTAATTACAGAAAAAACCCCAATATTGGTTAATTTGGGTAATTTAGATTAATTTGGTTAATCATAGTGATGGTTCCTTTTTTTGATGGTGCGATTTTTTGAGAAATTTCTTTGGGAATTTTTGAATTTAACTTCGAAATTTTTTGAATTTTCTTTTGAAATTATTTGAAACATTTTGGATTTGTTGGATTTTTGAATTTTTTGTAATTTCTACACAGCGTGTTGTTTGGGTATTTTTGGAAATTTTCTTTTTTTTTTAAATATTTTTTTTTTGAAATATTTTTCTGCAGTTACTACATGTACATAGGATATTTTGGAGAAACCTATTCAAATTTAAAAAAAAAACCGAAATAGTATCTACACCATCTATCTGAACCTTAAGTTTCATATCTTCCACTACACAAGACATACTAGTGACCATTTAAATAATGTGATGACTCTGATGGTCAGAGGAAACCAAACTTCAACTGTGAATCCGATGAGAAAGAAATATTTCAAAAACAAAACAAAATAAAAAACAGGATGCAAACTTTTACCTCGACCCTATGCTGGGAGTGTGTGACGATGTGTGGCCTTTGGGCAAGGTTCAAAATAGAAACTTGTTTTTTTTTAATGGATAAAAAGACCTAAGTTGTTTGCTTTTTTGGGGAAAAACCAAAAGTGTTTGTTTGTTAAAACTAAGTATTTGGATAGAAAAGCGAGGGGTTTTTTTTGCAACAAGCACAACAAATCATACTTTTTATCGTAAAATGCCAAGTTTTTACATTATGCGTTGATAGGTTTTTACATTATGCTTTAGAAAATGTTTTTACATTATGCGTCAAAAGTTTTTACATTATGCGTTAGCAAAATTTTTTACATTATGCGTTAGTTTTTACATTATGCGTTATTTTTTACATTATGCGTCAAACCTTTTTACATTAAGCGTTAACAATTTTTGTTTTACATTATGCGTCGTTTTTACACTAACAGTTGTTATAGCACCTGCATAGACATATCTTTAGCGTTAACAATGTATTTACAGTACATATAATATATGTATAGCATTACCGTAATACAGTTTAGAGTTATAGGCCTATATAAATAGATGGGTTTTCTCCATTTGTCTTTATGGTTACATTACTGTATGTAGGCTAACAACTTTTTTTCAACTTTCCTCTATTGGCATTCATCAAAGCATGGTCAAATTGTACAAAAAATAAGACATTAGATTAGACATGGAATATTACTGTACAAAAATGTAATAAAAATACATTTAATATACACCACCAATATTTGACACTCAAGTGGTATGACGTTCGCCATGGATGCGAAATGTCCAAGGTTCGAGTCCCAGCCCCGAATCCTGGTGGAGTTTTATTTCTTTCTTTGTCAGATTCTTTGTTTGTTACGTTTCAATTTATATATAGGCCATTATAAAGGGGCGTAGCTAATAAAAACAAAAATCCATTGGGGCTCATATAAGGATATAAATAAGAGTGAAATATATTCATTCATAATATACATAGCGGTGCCGTAATAAATTCAACACAATGAATACACATGTAGCGGGTGTTTACCCCTACTTGATAGTAAGCGAACAGTCACTTAATTCATCGTGAGGGCTCGGCTTCCAGTTACGCGCTGCTCAGTCAGTAGGCTTAATGTGCAACCATAAATGAAAACTACAAAATCCTTTCTATGTTAACACAACTATTATAGTATTTATTAAATATAGGGGGATTACAATGGGGGATTTAAACGGGAACTTAAACTAACCTAACAACTACTCACGTGAGAACAACTCGAAGATAAAACACAATAGGCATAGTTCATTCAGCAACTGTCCAATAATATTAATAGTGTTCGAATGATATGCAAACCATAACGAAGGAACAGCGACGTATTTTAGCGAAAAAGTCCAAAACAAAGTTATAAAATATAGAAGCGAATCCAACTTGAGCAGGAATGGCAAATGGCGATTCAAGTCAATCATCGTCAAGAAATCAAAACGTACGGTCCATCCGAGGTAACACCATCAACCATCCCATGTCGATCAGACATGGGCCTGGGTATTCTTCCAGCATAAATCTCGAAACTTGTAACAAAAATTATAATACTCCAGCTACTAAACTTTAGATTGGGAATAGCAGCCTACCGATCTCCATTTAGAGTCAGTTCGATCAGAGTTGAACGGTGTAGACTCTGCCCCATCTAAGTTATTAGTGTAGCATTATGTTGGTACAGTACTCTGATGGAATAGCCAAATGGCCAGAGCCACGGCCCTCGGGCTGAGGTACCGCTTTCCTCTCGCTGGACTTGATTTCTTTCTTCACTGCTCCTCTCTATCGAACTGTTCAGTGTTTTAAAGAAGGACATAACGACTCCTTGTTCGCGTCTTAACGTATTCCATCTGTCTCTTATACACATCTAGATGTGTATAAGAGACAGCACATAGGGTTTTTAATTCATTTTTGCGGCCGCACTTTGCCCACCTGTGGTATATATATACACGAATAAAACATCTGTCTCTTATACACATCTAGATGTGTATAAGAGACAGCCATATACATGCAATGACGGATATTCTGGAAATGGTTACATGTGTTTAGGTGAGATATATCGATTAACAATATTTTCCATATTCATTGCTGGACTGTTGAATGAGTTGAAATCTCTATTCTTATTTTACTTTTTATATTTTATTTATTTATTTTTTTAATAAATTTTCGTTTAGCCGAATTTGCCCATTATTAACTTTATTCCTTAAAGATGTATTTACCTATGCAAAATGCCCCCCCCCCCAAAAAATACAAAAATATTCTTGTTTTAATTAACTTGCTCATTTTGAAACAACATGAGATTATCAACTAGAACATAGAAATTAGTGCATTTAAAAGATGTCCCATAACTTTACAGCCAAAAATGATAGAAACTCTTTTTTTTTTACTTGTTTTATTATAAATTTTTTATTCAAGAAAATTAGTAATTTATTTTGTAAGTTATTTTTTTTTATTATTTGTTGTCATACATTTAAATAAACCCTCAGAATCCACACGAAAATGTTGTGTAAATGAATAATAGGCGTTCTGCCCTCTAAATAGGCACTCACTGCCCCCTACGGTCGTCGGCCAATGCGATTCTATGGAGAACGCAACGCCATGACGCGTGCACAATGAATCATTTTTGTTATGACGATCCGTTCAGAATGCCACTGACAATCATCAGACGCCCGTTGCGTTTGGCCCATTTGTAAACCCGTCTTGCCCAAAATTATGTGTAACACATCATACTCAAACTAATTTTTAAGACTCAATAAGTTTTTTTTCAAAGACTTTTCTTTCTTCGCCATGACAAGGCAAATCCCAAATAATAGGCCTACGTTTTAAGATTTTTAAAATTAAAATTTTCCACATTCATTCATTCATTTATTTGTTCAATATCAACATATACAAGGAAAAAAACAAATGAAACCTCTTATAAAAACATTTAAAACAGTAATTCAATATTTGTTTTTTTTTTAATATAAAAAAATTTCTTTAAGAAATATTGTAAAAAACGAAAAAAGGGGTTAAAAAGTCAAAGATAAAAGGGTTAAAAATTTTAAAATACACAGAAACGAGATAATGATTTAAGAACGGTAAAAAAATAAGTTAACAGTTAATAAAAACATCAGTACTGATATTTATCGGAACTAATAAAAAATATTAAAAAGGTCAAAAAAGCGGTTTAAAAAGTTGTGCAGAGTACTGGGGTACCATTAATGAAATTGTACTAAAAAATACGGTAAAGTTAAATTTAAAAAAAATAAATTAATAAAAAGGAGCAGGTGAAAAAACAAGAAGTTGATATCGACCAGGATAGCCCAAGAAACCAATTACATAGGTTTATTTCCGTTGGGGTCCTGAAAAAATAGTAATACGTTATAATAGACAAGGTTTTATGACATGACTTCTTTCGTTGTGACTCTCTCTTATTCGATAAGTAGTCTTTTGCCATTTTTTCTAAATAATGAAAGGCTGGCGGAGCTCTTTCTTTTGCTTGGAAGTTTGTTCCATTCATGGATGACGGTAGCATAAAATGTGCAATCGATAGCTTTAGATGCTTTCGATGGGATAAAGTTGAAATCGCTTTGACATGTACCATGACTGCTAGTCACAAATGTAAACTAAATCAAAAGTCCTAAAACTAGTTTAGAGAGTATCGAACAACTAGCTAGGGGCTTAAGCTTTGCCCTAGCCAGAGCTGCATGGTTCCTGTAGTACCTAGCTTAAGTAGGCCTAGGCTAGGCTACTTCCACCTAGGCCCACTATAGTTACTAATATTAGTATAGTGGGCCAATAGACCTAGTCGTGCGTAGTTGTTATCTCTCATTTTTCATTATTGATTTTAAACTTTGTTTTTCGTGTTGTACAATATCACGACAATATCGGTTTCGCATATAGAACTCTCGAAAAGTTCATCAAAATCGAAAACACTCGCTCGGATGAATACGTTCCTTCTTTACAAACTCGATCGAGTTTACGACGACGCGAAATTCTAGCACATGCGTAGAAACTACATAATTTTGGGCACGAAGGGTTTACGAAAGGGCCAAATGCGACGCCGTCGTGTCGTTTAGCGCTCACTGGGAACGGAGTTGATTCGTCAGCCGAGGCCTTACGACGCAGTGAGTGCCCTGCTTTATAGGCCTATTAATTGACAAATTATTTCTGGTTTTGGAGAGCCTCTGTAAAAAATTCACTGCTACACTGAACAATATAAAACAACAATGCGCCCTGACCATAATTAAAAAAGCGTTACATAAGTGACTGCTGTAATATATGTATGTAATAATGTTTGTGTTTAACAGATATCAACGAATGCTCTACATCTCCATGTAGTGATATGGCAACTTGTACTAACTTCGCCGGTGGTTATGCATGTCAATGTGATAGTGGTTTTGAAGGTGATGGCGTAACATGTTCAGGTAATATGCTTCAATTTTATATGGTTTATTAAATGATATTTTAAAAAATGTTTCAAATACCTGTTAAAAGACAATATTTATTTACATATATGTTGAAGCTTGCGGTACATCACGTAGGTATTTCTGAAAAGAACTGTTGTAGTCGAGAAAGTCTCGACGTTTCGATGGAGTTGCTTCAATCGTCTTCAGGAGAATAATATCTGTTGAAATTCCAGACAGAGAAATACTTATGTGTTTGGGTAGAGAGGCTGGTTGGTGATTGGATGGATAAACTGACCATTGAGAAGGCTGCTAGTAAAAGGCTAAAACAAAAGCCATTGTTCACTGAGACAAAGGGTGGCAACGCCCAAACAAAGTCATGGTTCCAGCGGCGGGAAATGGTGGGAACGACCAAAACAAAGGCATAGCTGTTCCAGAGTGGCGGGAAAGGGGGATGGGAAAGACCAAAAACAAAGGCATAGTTCCAGTAGGGCGGGAAAGGGAATTGGAACGACCAAAAACCAAAGGCATAGTTCCAGTGAGGCGGGAAAATGGTGGGGCTGCTTAGCTAGGTCCGGTTAAACATGGACAGCCAAATATCGCTAATGACAAATCCGATATCTTGATGTACAGTATTGTGTTTGTGGATTTCTATGGAATGCCACGATGGTACAGTGGCTATTAGTTCGGTTTGTCCCAATGTACATGGTATTGTTGACTGTGGGAGTGCATGACTATAGACGATTTTTGTTGTCCTCCTCTCCTGGCATGGCCTTGGTGTTCCGTACTATGCTCAAGGAACGCCAACCCTATAACGAATCAGTGAAAGCGCGCATTTTTAGAACGCATTCCTCATTGGCGGATTTAGGAAGGTAAAAAAAGGAGGTAATTAAAAAAAATAAAAAGGAAGAAAAGAAAGAAAAAGAAAAAAGTGATCGCCTAAAACGCCTCAGAGGTTATTTTCGGGCATCTAGAACGCTAAAACTTCGCGGGGGCATGCCCCAGACCCCCTATGGTAGTGTTATCTCGGTCGGCCTCACTTTCGGCCCCTTTGCCCCCCCCCCCCCCCCAACCTTCCCCCCTCCCCCCCCCCCCCCCCCTTTGAACATCTCTGGATCCGCCCCAGTTCCTAACCGTGTCTTTGTTTCTTAACCTGTTTCTGCTGGGGAGGACACGTGATTTTAAAAACGTAGAGTAGAAATGCTTAGTGGTTATGTTGCTTTCCTTCCAATCCCAAGCTCCTGGATTAATTTCCTTTCTTGGTAACAGTATTTTATTCTCACTTACAAAAACAACCCTACTCCCCAAGCCTCGTAATGAGACTTAGTGTATGTAGAGCATTGTGGTATGTACTTTATTTGACCTGTAAATGGTTTTCCAATAGAAAGTGATTAAGTTCACTGTCTGGCAGTTTCCTAGCCATTATGTCTAATTCTGAATAAATTATCAAATATAAAACAAATGAATATTGACGCTTCCATAGAATTCTAGTGTTGGATTATTGATTTTAATAGATATTGTCGAGTGTGATGATTCTGAAATCTGTGGTAAAAATTCTAACTGTGCAAACACGATCGGAGCTTATCAATGCAATTGCCAAGCTGGTTATAGAAGTAGTGGTGTCTTAGGCTGCGACAATATTGATGAATGTGCTGAAGGCAGCGATAACTGTAGCCCCCATGCTAATTGTAACGACACCCAGGGAGGCTTTACCTGTGAGTGCACCAAAGGTCACAACGGAGACGGCGTAACCTGTACAGGTAAATTAATTCCTTCAAGATGCTTCTCTTCACTTGGCCAAGTGTTTACATCGGTTAGTACAAATGTGAACAATAGACAGATCCAGTTCAATCAGTAACATCTACGGTACAAGAAAATATATAAGCATTAAAGATACACAGCCATGCCAAAAAAAAAGAAATCCCAAGCTCATTTTAAAGGCTCAAATA